AGCAAAGGTTTGTTCTTTTAGTCTTGCAGATGCCAGTCCCCAGTCCCACTGGTGGCTTCAGAAGGGTCTGTTTTGTGGTACAACATGTAGTTCCTGGAGTATTTTTATGACACCCCTGAGATCAGCTCTTGGTTAGAGCCTGGTGCTAATAATACCAAGGGTTGTGGGTTCAGTCTCTGGAAGGGGCCATTTGCTGAGGAGTTGGACTTGAAGATCCTGGGTCCCTTCTAGCTCAAAATGTTTTTTGATTCTGTGAATCTGAACACATTTGTGGCTGTTTACAAACCTTTGGCTGCCCTGATTGGCTCCTATTGATGAGTTTAACACAGATATTTATCCCATCATTGGTTTTTCATTCTATCATTTTTAAAAGCCTGCTTGCATGCTGGTCTGTCCAGATGCACAGTGTTGGCCCTCCTTGTACATTTTCCAAGAGCCTGAAATGCTCAGACAGTTGGTAATGGGGCCTCCTACCAGCAGCTGGAAATTGGAAACAGCCACGACTTGGTGACATCATCCCCTGCAACGAGTTCAGGGCTGAATCGTCTCCTGCATCCCAGCGGGTGGCCATCTGCTCCTGCCTGTCTTGGTGTGCTGGTGTTAACCCTGCCCAGGGGGGATGCTGCAGATGGTATCTTGCACCCAGTGACCCTGAGGAGACAGGCATCAGAACACCAATCTGCCTGTATGGGAAGCTGTTGCTCCACTCTGGTCACTCTTCCCCTTAGGATTAGCCAAAATCATCCCTAGTGATGGCTGGGCTCGGGCCCACAGAACTCTTATTGCATTCCCTATAATTAAAGCAGCAACAGTAATGGACCCACTGCACATTAAGAAGCTCTGTCCAAAAATGCTTAAGTGTATTTGCTTCTCTGCAAACACTTAGCTGCCCACCAGGAGATGTCCCCCTAAAGAAGAGTCTGGGGAGCAAGGGGGGAAGCTGGATTAAGCTGCATTTTCCAGACTAAAAGAAAAACAACTCAAAACATTCCTGAGATATTAACCTGGCATTCCTTCCCCTCCAAGCCTCCTTCATAGCTGGAAAACTGTGAGGAGTCACAACTAAAAGCAAAAAGGTCTTCACTGCCCCATTCCTAGAAACAGCTCCTGTAGCAAATTTTGCTCTTCAAAGCACAGCTCTCAAAAGAGCAGCACTGCATTCAGCAGTTGGTGAGGCCTCAGCTGGGTGTGAGCACAGCTGGACAGATGTTGCAGAGCCGGGTGCAGACATGCCTGTGCAGGTGTTTCAAAGCTGGGTGCCTGCTGGAAGGTCGCAGTGGGGAGGGCAGCGTGTTCCCTGGCAGTGCTCCTTGCCTTGTTCCCTCCCGCAGCACGTGTGCGGGGCATTTGGGAGCAGTGGAGGGAGTGAGACTGGCCCGGAGCCCTGTGCTGCCTGAGGGCGGCTCTTTGCTCTCCACGGCGTTTCTAAAATTCCTGCCTTTGCTGCCACACGAAGAAATTGTCACCATCCCACGGTCCGGACTGACGAGGGCCAGTTTCCTCCACAGATGCTTTGGCTGATGGGTCTTTGGCACCTTGTTCCCTTGCAAAGATCTGCATAATTAAAGCCTCTGGCACTTTGTTGCCTTCCACATATCTGCACAGCCCTAGGGGATCGCCCAACCTGGGCTGTAGCAGGGAAGAGGAGCTCTGTGCAGCTCCTGCCTCTCCGGAGCCTTTCCGGGAGCCTTGGTCAGCTCCGGAGAGTGACTGCTCTCAAGGGACACCCTCCCCAGTCCTGTGTGCAAGTAGCAGCCTGGGTACACCCCAGCTCCTCTGGAACCTGTTTCATACCCTTTTTTATTTTATTAGGAGAGTGAACAGCTCCAACAAGCTTGTTGCCCAGAAAAATGGGATTTGTTACCCAGTGTGCAGCACACCAATAATTACACACTCAAGAGAGACACTGATTATTTATTCTGGTTGCACAAGCCTGGGTGCTCAGTGGTATTCCACAAATCAAGCACACTGACTAACAAAACTTTTTCCTATTTATACTTTCCAGTGTATATCTAGAAGAATGTATAAATAGGGGGCTCCTGCCCCCACCCTCTGTGTTCATCCACCTACCTGGACCGTGTCACCCATCATCGGTCTTCATCTCCCACCCAGAGCTCAATCTGTATCTCAAACTGCAGCTTGCAAAGGGAGCTACTCAGACCAGATGTATTCCTCAGCATCAGCAAACACAGGCAGTAATGTTCATTGGCTACAACTTCCATAGTTCTCTTATTAATTACTATTCCATCTTCTATCGGTTGATCATTCTCTCCATTCTTATGCTGGACATCACTTAGAGCTTGTTAGTTACTATCTGTTTCATGGATTAAATCTCCTTTCTTGTTGATTAAGTTTGAAAGTGTATAAACTGCAACCCGCCTGCAGTTACTGCGTGACTGGTGGAGCAGCTTCCTGCCTGCCTTAGTGCTGCAGTCCACTGGCATTTATGGGGCAAACCCCACACACATGTACAGATTGATCTGTTAATCCAAGACCTCCAGCTTTTTGCTCACTTGCTCACTTTTGGTCAACCCCATAGTCCCACCTGAGCTGGAAAGGTAGGAGGCTGCTCAATTCTCCATGGAAATTTTTAATCCACACCCAGACACACACACACAGAAATCCCCTACACCCCAACCCACTACTTCACCTCAAATACTGAGGTAGTGGGAGTGAAATTTCCATCATCTCTCTGCCCAGATTTTCAAGTTTAACAAAAGGGGAGCTTTTCCTGGGCAGTTCAGCTCTTTCTAGACTTCCTTTGGGTGCAGTTCTCCAGGATACTTGCACATGTTGACGTTCACAGCTCTGGTAGGTATTCAAGCCCACTTCTCACTCCTGTGAGAGTCTATTAACTCCACAAAGAGCTCAGAGTTGATTACATTTGGGACACCTGATTACATTTCCCTCCAACACCCCCTCCCTTGAAGAGCCCTCACAATTAATAAGCTGCAGCAATGCTGATGCACTGCCCTGTTCCTCCTTAGAGCCCAGGTAGGGACAGAAGGAGGGTAGAAAGAGGCTGAACACACCTGTTAATGCTTCCATTTATACCTAAGCAGTCCTGGCCCCCCTCAAAGACAGATTCACATCAAAATGAGCTTCTGTCTCAACAGGAAGGCATCAAGTGTCTATTCTGTAGTAGCTCCATTTTAAAAATAATTCCATATTTGCTCAGTTTAATGTTAGTGTCCTATCAGCAAAAGCACTGTTTAGCACTGCTATAATTACTTACACAGTTTCTACATATTTATTTTGGTAAAAGACCCACCTGCTGGATTCTTAGGGGTTTACAAGGTGCTACAAAATGAACTTAAAAACATACACTTACAGGAAACAATTTATCTCAGCTTTTCCAGTTGCTCCACTGACCAACTAAACACCCGTCTCGTCAAGAATATAAGAATATTGTTTCCTTATAAATCCATGCATAACTAAGTATTAAACAACTACTTCTTTCCATAACTTTGAAACAGAGGTATAGAACTCAATTCCTTTTGGGGAGTTGCTCAACAGGCTTTACAGACTCAAATGGTTGTAGAAAGCCAAGAAGATACAAGAACTCTTGTGCTGGGAGGCAGGAGATAACATCAGCACTGGCATTGTTGATGTTCTGTTGCATAAAGACTGTCAGGATCAGGAGCCAAAGGCATTTTTTCGACTTCTGGTATCTTTACAGTCTGGTGGGGACTCAAGGCTTCCTAGTTGTTTTCTGGTAGAATCAAAGAAATGCCTTCTTGAGGACCTGAGGTCAGTTCTTACTCTGAAAAGCATGAATCAGAGTACTTTGTTTTGTGGCCCCTGGATCTGGGATGCCCACAGCCCCAGTGCTGCCCCATCAGAGCTGCCCAGCAGCTCCTACCACAGCTACATTGAACCTGAGTAGGAGACGCTGGTTACAGTTCCCACCCCAGGAACGGGTTTACTTTACACTACTGAGTACTTACATGTACCATTTTATAAGAGAGCAGGTGGGCAAAATCTGAGTTATGGTAAGTCTGTCCTCTGATACCACTAAAACAAAAAAAGCATGAAATAAACATTTCCTCTGCTGCAGGTTTCCCAGAGTCTGCAAGGGGAAGAGACTTGTCAAACAGCAGAGAGAAAAAGTACTAAACTAACCTGAGTTCTGGCTCTCGTGCAAAGTGTGGCAGGAACTTAAACCTAATCCAACAGTGGGGGTCTGCAGAATGTCAGTAACTTCCAAGGTCAAAAGGATGCCTTTCCAGTCATTTTCCTCTCCACGCTTTTTACTTTACTGTTTGAAGGCAGAGATGTAAAAGAATCCATCACAGATGGATCTGTTGCCATACAGCACCGAGGCTGAAGCCCAGAATTCCCATGTTTTTGTTCCCTAGAACCATATCCATGAAAGCACAAGGTGCACAAGCACCTCCCCACCTATGTGAGTCTAGGCCCAGACTCAGCCCACTTTGGGGTAAAGACATTAAGTCCTGCACAAACCAGGCATGTCTGTAAAACTTAATACTTATGAAATGCAAGTTACTTTCTGTTATTTTGTGGTGTTCTAACTTCTTAGAACTTTACTAAAATAAAAGTCTTCATTTTGCACCAAAACGGAGTCTGTGCCCTCAATCGCCACAATCTGTAGGCAATCACACAAAAATACAAATGCTAAGTCACAGCAACATCTTTGAACACAATACAAGGAACCTGGATACTCTGAAATAAATCACACTAAGGAAGCAGTGTGTTCTGCTTCATTTTTATCCTCTCACCCAGAGATTATGCAAATCATTCTTAACATCTGTAGTCAGGGATAACATTAATAACTCCCAATGACAGCATAACTTTTTTTTTTCACTGAAGAAATTGAAACAGTAAGCCAAAAGGAAGTTCACCTACACTGAACACTTCCGCTGGAAAAAAACCAATACCAAACCAAATTAAGAGTAACTTCGAATATTATCAGGTACCTTTATCTGCCCTGGAGTTTAAAAATTTGTAATTGTTTTTCAAATGTAAAATTTATTGCAATAAACAGAAGATTGGCATGGAAGACAATAAAACTGAGCTGCTAACACTGTGCACTCTGAAAGTATACTCTTGCTGACATAAGGAAGATGTGTAAAATGGTAAACAGAACTACTTTAAACTCAAAATAATCCCAAAGGACTTGGGTTCTGTTGGATTGTGGAGCAATCCACTTGGTGAGATACGAATGTACTGTTTTCCACAGGTGCAAAGCAGGACCTCATCTGGCAAACAACAAAACTTGACCACAGTCTGAGGCTGTAGAAACTCCAGTTCAGGAGTGCCTTCTGTTGCTGAAAAAGGCTATTGAGAAGGTAAAATAATTTCATAAATAATTTTAAATATGAAACTTTTCTCTCTTCTAATGGTTTTTAACAGTAGAGAGTAGTAGGGTAGGACAGGGTCATGTACATACAGAAACACCTCAGCAGCAGCATTCTTGCAGATGTGTAATGAATCACTGATCCAATAAACAGTGATGTCGCCAGAACAGTTGTGAGTAATGAGTAAGTAAATCCTGGCTTCTGTATCCATTTACCAATTCAACAGCAGTACTGCAGACAAAATGGTAAACTAGGATCAGATGAAATTCCAAGAAATTGAGATATAATAAGAATTAATCAAGAGGAGGAGAAGCCTAGCGGCATCACTGACAAAACAGGTCAGCATTTGCCAGAAAGAAACCACCTGCTGCTATTAAGAAATCACAGCACGAAGGGCTCACCGCTGGTGGGCGGCGGCGCCGAGAACGGCATGGCTGGATGCGGGGCAGGACAGGAGGGGCGGGAGCGGGGCGGGACGGAAGGGGCGGTGCAGGAAGCGGGAGCGGAGGAAGTGCGAGCGCAGGAAAGGCGGGCAGGGCACACGTGGAGTGCGGGGACATGGCAGCGGACAAGAGGAAGCGTGGGGCGCTCCCGGCGGGAAAGGGGAAGCGCGCCAGGACCGGCCCCAGCGCGGCAGAGGCAGAGGCGGCCCCGGCCGGAGCCCCGCAGGAATACAGCATCCCGCCGCCCGTGTCCCAGGTACCGCCGCAGAGCGCGGCTCCTCCCGAGGGGTTCGGCCTGCCCGGGGCTCCGGGGCTCGGGCTGCCTGCGGGAACGCCGCTGTTTGGCTGATTCCTAATCTTTTATAATCCCAGCGCGAGTAGGAGTAACGCGGTGCTGTGCTGTGTTGTGTCGGGGGGGTACGCGAAGGGCGCTGTTCTGGTCGGTGTAAGTAAGATGGGTTACGGTGATCTCAGAAGTACCGGGAAGAGCGGGGTAATTCTGTTGTGTACAAAGGGTGTATGGAAACCGTGCCTGTTCCGTTTAGGAGTGATCCTGAGGAGGTTTCAGTAATTGCTTTATAAGTTGCGTTCCTGAAAAACAAAGAGCAGCACGTGTAGGGCGGAGATGTGGTCGGATGCCCACGGGTCGGAAAAGCGGAGCCGTGCTCTGGGGCTGTGCCCGAGCTCGTTCTGCAGGGAAGGAGCGGTGGCCTGTGTGAATAAGTAGTGCACGTGGCTGTTAATAGTGTGGTGCGAGGGAAAGAAAGGCTTTAGCTGGGAGCAGACCGGAGCAGGACGGAGCACAGACCCTGCTGTGAAAGCAAGGCCCCTGCATTCTCTAGGGAAGCCACCGCTCTTGCTGGGTGGGTAGATAATAACAAGTGTGGGTTTTGTAGCTACTGACCGAACACTTATTTTTGCTGTGTTGTAGTAGTATTAAGGCCAGAAACTTCCCAGGTAACTTTTGTGTCTTTTTCGTAGGGTAAATGGAAGAACAAGGAGCGAGTGCTGATATTCTCCTCTCGTGGAATCAATTTCAGAACAAGGCACCTAATGCAAGACTTAAGAACACTGATGCCTCACTCTAAAGCAGGTAGGCTTAAGCGTCATTCCTAATTTATATTTTCAGAATATTTTGAAGCCAAGAACTTAAGGCAACCTGCTCTTTATTTTTTTGAATGTGGTACATAAGTGTTTTGATGAAACTTGTATCTTAAGCAAACACCAACCCCCTTTTGAGCCAACAAATGCAGCACCTTCACATCTTAATATTTCCTGAGAAATTAATCCCGTGGCATCAGTCCTGCAAGTGCACAGTTTTGCTGCTGTGCTTGTTTATTCCATAACAGGATTGAAACTTTTTGGTTATAAACTCGTAAAATTTTTGCAAAAGGACTGACTGTTAAAGGAATGTCTTGTGTTAAATTGTCTTTCGAACCTCCTAAATGTTGTTCTTATCTTCCAGATACTAAAATGGACCGTAAAGACCAGCTGTTTGTAATTAATGAGGTAACCAAGGATTTTTCTAGTGCTCATTTTCTTTTTGAAATTTTCTATGAAAATTCAATGTGCAAGGGAAAAGGGCAGCCAAGTTCAGAGGATATCATACTAGTTATAGGAGTTGTATAATTTCATAGGTGAAAATTATTGATATTTAAAAACACTTGTATTAAAACAAGAAGTTGAATTTTGATGAATGAAACCAAAATTAAACTTTTCATTAAACATAGATTTTTAGCATGAAGAAATAAAACCTTCTATATAGGTGAAAGTTTATACTTGAAGAATGCAGGACACAAATATGCAGCCAGCCTAAGCAATGTAGTAGAACATTGGTAGTCCTGAACCTAGGACCCAGTGTTACAGCTCCTGCTCCCAGGTTTATGCCTGGAGAGCTTATCAGGTTGTTTGTAGCTTTAATGAAGTTACTACTCTTTTTAATAATTATGTGAGGTTTTTCAACAAAACAAGTGCTTCAGATCAAGTTTGGGGATCCTTAGGTGGAACTTGATAAGTCAAAACCTTTGCTTTTGGACTTGTATTTTGGAGAGGGGAAAATCGTAGTGCTGAATGTGGAAGGTTTTCAGTAATATCTTCAGAATGTTTGTAAACAGCTAATTTGAGATGTCTTGTGTAGGTGTGTGAAATGAAAAACTGCAACAAGTGCATCTTTTTTGAAGCCAAAAAGAAACAGGATCTCTACATGTGGTAAGGAAATGCTATGTTTTGTTACATTTCTATATATAGCTGCAGATGCTTCAGTGTTAGCTTAAATTTCTTACTGTAATAGTGAAGATGCATGAAATAGTGTTGCTTAGTTAAATCTGTTCTAATATTGCACTTCTGCGGGTAGTGGAAGTTTACAGTGCATGACCAGCTTTTGTCGGCTGTTTACAGAAGCATTTTACAAAATTATTTAGAAAGCAGGTATTTATGAGTACGTTAAAGGAACTCAGTAATGTTATGAAAGCAATCAAAATTACTTCAGTAGAGGAGTTGAGGGTGTACTGTGGAAATCCAGCATACCTTCTGGCTGCTGTTAATGTTTTTCTTTTCTGTCTTCCCCACCTCCTGTCCTCCACAGGCTTTCAAACACACCACAGGGACCATCAGCTAAATTCTTAGTGCAGAATGGTAAGCCGGTTGACATTGTTGTGGTTGTACTCTTGCTTCTTTGTACAGTTTTCTGTAAGTACTAAAATGATACCTTTTTAAAAATGCCTGTAGTTCACACGCTGGCTGAATTGAAGATGACGGGAAATTGCCTAAGGGGCTCACGGCCCCTCTTGTCTTTTGATCCAGTAAGTATAGTTTCCATTTCATTGACTTTGCTTTTGTTCTGTTGGCATGACCATTGCATTTAGATGTGTATGTAAAATTCAATTTTTATTCTTTGTAGATCTTTGACAAGGAGCCGCACTATGCCCTGCTGAAAGAATTGTTTATTCAGGTCAGTCTGTAGTTCTGCTGTCGAATGTTTCTTCTTCACTGGAAGTGTTCTTTGGCAACATACTTAAAAATCTCAAGTGTTTTTTCAAGCAGCACTTTAATCCTTCTGAACTTTCAAAAAGTCCTCCAACGATTTGGGTCGTGTTCTCAATGTGACTTGAGCACTTGTTCTTAAGTTTTGAGTTTTGAAATGTAACCTGGGATTGGGGTCTTAGTTAATTAAGACAAATTTAAACTGAGCCATTTATGCTTGACCTCTTAAACTGTAGATATTCAGAAATGCTGCCTCTTATTACAGATATTCAGTACACCGCAGTATCACCCCAAAAGCCAACCTTTTGTCGACCATGTCTTCACCTTCACCGTTACAGATGAGAGGATCTGGTTTCGGAATTACCAGGTTAGTGGTCTCTCTCAGCTCTTCAGAAGGAGCTCAGGGGAGTAATTTCATATCAGATCCATTAATTAAAGTGGGAAGAATCATTATTATTGGGATATGCCAACCTCTAGTGCTTCCAGATTCAGTCCTGATACGATTTACCTTTTGCTGTATCTCTGGAGAGATCTGGTTCAGTCAGCTTGCATTCAGTGAGTTGTGGTTCTGTGGTGGATGTCTTGGCCATGGGAAGTACTACCCAAAGCCTACACTTTGCCCTGTAACCTTACTTGCTGCTTTGACCCAAAGTGAGCTGGAGCTTACTTTCTAAAGGAGGAATTCACAAATGCCTGGTACTCTCTAAAAGCTGGCTTGAACCTGAAAGGACTGCTTTATGTTCGACAAGTGTAGCTTATCAGCTTCAGGGGCAATATATCTCAGATTTAAATTCAGTTGTGCCTTACCATTGCAAGGTGCCTACAAGGTCATAGACTGTGATTTGATCCATGAGAATTTAGGGAAGTCTTCTTTTTATTGCAGATAATAGAAGAAGATGCATCTCTGGTAGAAATTGGGCCTCGTTTTGTTCTGAATCTTATAAAAATCTTTCAAGGTAGTTTTGGAGGGCCAACACTGTACGAAAATCCTCATTACCAGTCCCCAAATACGGTAAGCAGTTCTTTGTTTTCTCTTTCATTCAGCAACTAATTTGAAAAGCAGTGTCTCTGCAGGAGCATCACACATGCCCTGCTCCAAGACCCTTCATAGAAAAGAGCCCCAAGTGATAATAATTCAAGAACAGACTAAATTTTTGTAATTTGTAAGCATGTAATGAATGCAGAAGTGATGTTACTGAAAAGATGGCATTACACTGAGGATTTTGGCCACTAAGCAGAGAAATTATCATGTGTTTCTTTAATACTGGACTTTTTCTGTATTGCTTATTTGAAACATGTTCACATTTAAATTCTTATTTTTATAGCATCGACGGCTGATAAGATTGTCAGTGGCAGCGAAGTTTAGAGAGAAACAGCATGTGAAAGAAGTGCAAAAGGAGAAGAAAAAAGCAAGCAAGGTCCTTGTTAAAGAAGATCCTACAGAAGTGGTCTTTGAAACTCCAGCTGAAGAAAAGCCAGTGGAAATACAGCTTGTGAAACCGGAGTCAAAGCCAATTGTCAAAGATAAAAAGAAACTACGCAAAATTCAGAGGAAGAAGCAAAAAAAGCTATTCAGAACTGAATCATCAGCATAAATGTTACAAGGGATGAAACTAATTTATTGACATAATATTGTAAATAAATTATTTTTATAGGCTAAACTATCTGGAGTTCAGTTTTAAGTAAACAAAATATCCATTTTTTATTAGGATTTTGTGTTTAATAGGTTTCTTTTTTTGTCTTCTGGGATTCTGGGTTTTGAAAAATATGGCATCCCATCCAACCCAGCCTTCAACACTTCCATGGATGGGTCATCCACAGCTGCTCTGGGTGACGTGTTCCTGTGCCTCACCATCCCCCCAGTAAAGTTGTTTTTTTCCTCTAATATCTGAAGTCTGGTTCCAAGACTGGGGCACAGAGTGGCTGGAGAGCAGCCAGGAGGAAAGGGACCTGGGAGTTTGGATATGACAGGAAGCTGAACATGAGCCAGCAGTGTGCCCAGGTGGCCAAGAAGGCCAATGGCATCCTGGCCTGCATCAGGAATGGTGTGGCAGCAGGAGCAGGGAAGTGCTCCTTCCCCTGTACTCAGCACTGGTGAGGCCACACCTGGAGTGCTGTGTCCAGTTCTGGGCCCCTCAGTTCAGGAAGGATATTGAGGTGCTGGAGCGGGTCCAGAGAGGAGCAACGAGGCTGGTGAAGAGACTTGAGCACACGTCCTATGAGGAGAGGCTGAGGGAGCTGGGGTTGTTTAGTCTGGAGAAGAGGCAGCTCAGGGGAGACCTCATCACCCTCTACGACTATGTAGCCAGATGGAGGTTGGTCTCTTTTCCCAGGCAGCTCTCAGTAGGACAAGAGAGCATGGTCTTAAGCTCTGCCAGGGGAGATTTAGGTTAGGTATTAGGAAGAAATTCTCTACAGAGAGGGTAATCACGCATTGGAAGGGGCTGCCCAGGAAGGTGGTGGATTCTCCATCCCTGGAGGTATTTAGGAAGAGATTGGATGTGGCACTTAATGCCATAGTCTAGTAACCACAGTGGGTTTGGATCAAGGGTTGGACTTGATGATCTCAGAGGTCCTTTCCAACCTGACTGATTCTATGATTCTCTCTGAAGAGCGCGGGTATCAAAAAAAAAAAAGTTACCTGAGAACCTAAGAATGGGTGCTGTACTGGCTGTGCCCCTGAGCTCCTCAGCACCCATAGGAATGAGAAATACCTGTCCAAAAGATAGTGTGGCCAGCAGGACCAGGGAAGAAGTTCTCCCCCTTTACTGGGCACCTCTAGTCCTTTGTCCAGTTCTGGGCCCCTCAATTCAGGAAGGACACTGAGGTGCTAGAGCGAGTCTGAAGAAGGGCAACGAAGTTGGTGAAGCACAACCAAGTTTGAAGCAAAAGTCTTATGAGGAGTAGGAGTGTTTAGGCTGGAGTAGACTCAGGGGAGATCTTATCACTCTCTAAAAGCACCTGGAAGGAGCCTGTAGCCAGGTGGGGGTCGGTCTCTTCTCCCAGGTCACTGACAACAGGACACAGTCTTAAGCTGCACTGGGGAAGGTTTAGGTTGGACATAAGGAGGAATTTCTTCACAGAAAGGGTGATTAGACATTGGAATGGACTGGCCAGGGAGGTGGTGGAGTTACCGCCCCTGGAAGTGTTTAAAGGGAGAAATGAACGTGGCACTTAGTACCACGGTCTGGTTGACACGGTGGTGTTGGGTCACGGGTCGGACTCGATGATCACAGAGGTCTTTTCCAACGTGAAGGATTCCGTGGTATCCGCTCAGCTCGGCACCGCGGGCCGACACGCCCCTCCCAGCCCGGGGACGGCGCAGCGCCGCCCTCCCAGCCCGGCAGCCTCTCCCGGCTGGTGACAGCGGCCCGCAGGTCCCGCCCCGCTCCTCCCTGCGCGGGGCGGCCCTGACGGCTGTGCCCGCCCCGCCGGCCGGCGCTTCCCCGCGGGCCGAGGCACCGCCGCCCCGCCGCCGTCGCCATGAAGTGCCACTACGAGGTGCTGGGCGTGAGGCGCGACGCCGCCGAGGAGGAGCTGAAGCGGGCCTACCGCCGGCTGGCGCTGCGCTGGCACCCGGGTACGGCCGCGGCTCCGGGCGGGGGGCCCGGGGAGCCCCGTGCGGCCCCGGGGAGTCGCCTGACTCGGGTGCCGGGGGCGGCGGGGCGGGCTCGGCCGCTGTGCCGTGCGGCCGCTTACACCTGTTTCGTTAAATCGCCCTGCAGATAAAAACCTCGAGAACGCGGAGGAGGCGGCGGAGCAGTTCAAGTTGATCCAGGCGGCGTACGACGTGCTCAGCGACCCCCAGGAAAGGGCCTGGTGAGCGGCGCTTGGCCTGGGAGAGACTTAGTTAGGTCCTGTCTCTGCCTGGCCTTGGAACGTGCTGCCCGTGGGCCTTGTGGGAAGGGAGTGCGGGCATCCATGGGCAGGAGCGAGCCCCCTTTAGGCTCTGGAAGGGGTGGGAGCCGTGCAGCCTTGCTGGAGAGGCACAGATCCGCGCCCACGCCTTCCCTGCTGGAGGTGAAGGTGTGCTGGGCACCGAGGAGTGCTCTGGGACACGCCAGTGTTGGCCTCTGCCTCCTCTCCTGGAGCAGGAGGCAGCCTGCGCGGTATCACAAGTGCCCCTCCGGTCAGCCCTGCTGGCCTTGGGCAGGGCAAGCACGCGTTCAGTGTCCTTCGGGTGCTGCACGTTAAGTCTTAATGACGTACGTTATGTTTCTGTAGCAGAATTCTGAAATACACACGCACACATACCCTTAAGAGAGTGATACTCAAATGTCCTGTGTAGCTTGTTTTTCAAATGGTCTGAAGCAGGTTACGTAGCTAGAACCACCTGTGCTAGGTTTGTCCTCTTTGAAACTGCAGGACTGGTTTTCAGTTTTTATATGCCAGTGTATGATTTGGGGGTTTTTGAGTGTGCATAAGTATCGAGTGATTTAAATAATCATTTATACCCATTTCTGAAACATCTTGCTCAAATGTGGTTGATTACTAGCTGCCTGTTAAAAAATTGCTGCTATGGATACTGCAAATAAAGTAATAGTAAGTAAACTGAAGGTCAAGATAGAATATTTACTGAGCCTACCTTGTTTTTCTCTCTGAAGGCTTTGGATGTGAGAGCCAAATTACAGACACCAGGCTAAGCTATACCTTGATGTAATAGGCGTACTGTGAGAATGTCCTGTGTCTCTACATCCTGGATGCTGTGAATTTTTTCTAGGTATGATAATCACAGGGAGGCTCTGCTGAAAGGAGGAGTTGATGGAGAGTACCAAGATGATAGTTTGGATCTGCTGCGCTACTTCACTGTTAGCTGTTACTCTGGATATGGAGATGATGAAAAGGTAATGAATTAATTTAAGGTATCAATTTAAATTCCGTTCTAAATGTTGGCATTTGTTTCGTGTGGAAAAGTTATGTGTAGAATTGTTAGCATGGGTAGTAATAATGCTCACACAAATCTAAGACAAAAGTTGCACTGGACATTTAGGGAAGCTTTAATTCCTGCATGTTGTCTAACAATTACTTAATCATAATTTCCAACTAAGCCATACAACTGCGAAGTGTGTATATTATTTATTTATGTTATATAGTGAAGCATTCCAGAGATTTGCAATACCATCTGTTTATTCAGAAATACATTCAAAGGCTAGAATGCTTCAAACTGCAAAAAAGCAATGTAACAAGAATTCTTGGGGAAGGTTAAATTAATTCCCTATCTCATTTTTTGAGTCCCCATTGAATTTTAAAATACTCACTATAAATTAAAAAGCTCCAAGTGATCAGGAAAACCTCCACCAGAGAAAATACTTTTCTATCTTTGTATTACTGTACTAGGAGTCAGTTAGTAATGTATTAATTTGAAAAGAGATAGGATACTTAATAACGAATTTTATATCTGGAACTTCCACAAAACCTGATCCTGTGTAACTAGAAACTTATCACCCTCTCCAGCATGCTGAAAATATTTTTCTTTTTAAATTTAGATTCGACTACAGGTGTGAGAGAGACAGGAGATGGAAATAAAAGGCATGAGAGATAATGGAACTATGTTAAACAGAAGGGTCATGCTGTCTAGAACAAGTGCTTACAAGGCCTTTACCCTGATTTTGAGTTGCTTTTGCAGAATTATAGTATTTCTCTAAAATACACTCCTGCACCTGAGCATTTGTACATCTATTATTGAGCCATTCAGAATGAGTCTGATTGATTGATCAATTGATTGATTTTTTCAGGGGTTCTTTACAGTCTATCGACAAGTTTTTGAAAAGATTGCGAAAGAAGAGATGGAATACATAACCCAGGAAGATCCTGAAGAATTCCCTATGTTTGGATATTCCCAAAGTGACTATGATACGGTAAGAGCAAGTGTAAATCTGAACTGAAGGTAATGGAGTTTAGCCATTACTTTGTTCCACGCTGAAACCAAAGGAAAGGCTCCTCCTGATCTCTGAAGTGAATGCAAAACCACGTATCTGGTATTCTACTAATGTAGACCATTACTATAAAGGAAGTGCTTGTGTTCTGATTTGTAGTATTTTGGTGAATTAAAATTGGTATTTCCCATTGGACTATAGTATTAGCCAGGCCTTTAGGGTAAGCTGTCAGACAAACATTTCATGAGGTCAACTATAATTATGCCACTGGAACTTAAATGTAATGCAAGACCTGTAAAGTAAAAGAAAAGATGTTTGTTTCCTGATGAGAGTAGTTTACCAGTATTTAACACAACTTACATTACAGAAAGGGATTTGAGATAATTTTTTCCAGTAGAGGAAAACTGCATAACACTTACTGCATAGCACAGCCTGTAGAAAATAAATGTGGTGGTTGACCTGCAGTGTTGAGTTGCCACTATGATTACCTTGCCATCTGCAGTTAGCCTGTAGTAAGATTTGATTCTGAAAATATTGCATGCTTTCCTTTGTGAAGTAAGAAAAGAAAATGTATAGGGGACACCTGAATTCTTGTCATCTGGTTTGCCAGCTATTTGTTATGTTCTGTTTAGAATTCTTTCTTGAGGTTACCAGTATTCCTGTGTTGAAATTAAATAATGAAGTAATAACGCTTCCTCTAGGTAATAACTGCACAATATCAAGTGTAGTCAGATGTTGCCTCTGGTCTGCTCCCTTTAATGTATGGCCAGTTATTTATGAAATTTAAATTAATACATTCCTTAAAAGTTAGTAACTTCAATGGTACAGAACTTGGCTGGAGTTGGAAACAAAAGTTACAAATCAAACTTCTTAATAAGTGTGAGAATGGGTGTTTAGATGCCAGAATGGTTTAACAAGTGGAAATCTTTCCTGGGGAGAATATGTAGTGTCTATTAACCAGCTAAAATCTGTCTCTTAACAGAGTTATCTTGAAAGATCTTTTGGAAAATACTTGTTTTGAGTCTATGGCATAGATATGATTATGGACTCAAAATGGCTTTTATGCTGTCAATTAATAATTGCAAAAAGGGCTGGAATTCAGGCTTTAAAATCTGCCTTGTTCATGCTGTTCTGAAAGCAGAGTGCTCACTTCCCCCCCCCCCTAGGGATTCATAGCAAACAGCCTCTGTTAAGTAGAAAGATAATTTTCCCTGTTGTGTTATTTTCAGAGAAAGAGATTACACTATCAGACGATTCCAGCATTGCAATGTTCACTTACCTACTCAGTGGGAGTGTTGTGGGAAAAGAGTTTTAGCAGGGAGCTACAAGAACTCCACAGAAGCTTCAGAATCTGAGGTGTGAATACTCTGGTTTGGTCTATTTAGTGAATTCATAAGAAACTTGAGAGGCAGCTTGATCAGTGCCAGGCAGCCAGGAAGGGTACTCGTAAAGCCGTGAGTTCACAAGCCTTCATGGGAGGAGCAGACTTAGAGGTCAATTAGATGCAGAAACAAAAGTGATCAGCTCCAAGTGTGAGTAGTAGGCAAAGCAAAATCCACCTGGGAGTCCAGGGAGCTGCTGTACAGGCTGCTGGAGAATGTCAGAGATTTGGTTGTGTTTCAAATTGTTAAGGTAGCTACTGAGAAGGGGGAGAGTCTCAGCTCATACAGCTGGTGAAGCGGAGGATGATCCCTGAACTCAGTTGATGGCTGAGCATCCTTTTACACAGAAGTATCTGAAGTAGAAATCTTCTGAAGTTGAAATCTGAGGTAGTGTAATCTCACTTAGGTTATTGGATGAAATATGAATGTATGGTAATTATAGAGCTGGGTTTTTGTGATAGCAGATAAAAACTGCAGCAACTTACCTGCCAGAGGCCACAGCCGTGAACTTTGCATGTAGATAGGCTGCTGGAAATTATTTTTGAGGTGTTGACAGTTGTAGTCCGTGTGAATAACAATGGCAGAAGGAGGAGTCACTATAAGAAGAGATATTAAACTGTTAGGTTAAATTCTTCTGTGAGGTAACCCAAAATATGAGGAGTATGCATATAGGAGCAAGTAGTAAAAGGAAAGATTGATGGGGAAGTGTAGGAGAATTAGAAACCTTTTGGGTTAAGGCAGGAGTAAAACAGCTGATGGGAATCTGAGGAGTCTCAAGGACTAAGTGTTTTGAGAACATGACAAAGACTGGACATCTACAGGGATGAGAAAAACAGCACCTGCAGAAGGGAGTTTAAGCTGAACCTGCCAGGAGACATGGGAATAGAAGCGTTGTAGTTAGATTTAGAAGGAGAAGAATTTAGAAAATAAGATATGTTAACTAGCCAATAAGAATCGTGTGAACAGTGTATGTTTTGTGTGTGTGACCAATAATAGGTTAAGTAGTCAAATATGTGGTAGTTATTGAATTGTATAAAAGTAAGTGTAATTTCCAATAAAGATGAAGCTTCCAAAACATCATATTGGTGTGTGTGAAGTTTCCACTGGGTCTCGCACGTGTTACAGGGAAGTAATGCAAAAAGGGAGTTTAGGCATATGGTGATCACTGAATATACAAAATGCAGAAGGACAATAATTATTTGGAGAGAACTAGAGAACACACCCAAAGTAATTATTATGCCACGTTATTAATCTAGCATTTACTAATGAATAGTAAAAGGAAGAAGAATAAGTAAAGATCCCTTTTTCTTTGATGTGAAAGCTAGAGGGCATAATTTTAATATGCAGTCATATAGTTTGCTAACAAAACAGAAGGAAATGTATCTTCACCTAGCCCCTTGTTAACTATGCAAGTGAAGGTCTGTGCTGTTGTATCATCAAGGGCTATTAATTTCTGTCTTGTTCTGGAAACAGAGAGAGTATACAGGGAAGAAATAGAATTACGTGCCTGTGTTTGTTTTATTGCTTTTTTTTATGCTGGTCACTGGCTGCTGTTGGAAATGTATGACCAACCTTTGGTGTAATTTAATGTGGTGGTTCATAGGCAATCTGTGCATATACCAGCTTGTGGACAGCAAATCTTATTCTGATTGTGCTTTTCATTTTGACAGGAAACGTAGAGCACAGCTAAGTAACTGGACACTAGTGTCAGCATGATCCAATCCTGCAAGGGGATATTTTTCGAAGTTGCAGTTTGTAATAGTTTAGACAAGGTTGTGGACTTGACACACTTTCACACTTTAAGAATTATATTAGAGATGTGTTTAAACTCTCATGTGATTTATTTATACTCTGAGGCAAAACTGTGGCCTATATATAGTTAAGAACAAAGCTGTAACGGAAGTCCTGAATTATTTGTATGGTTTTTGTGTTTCCCCTGCTAAACAAGTGACTTTTCTTTTTTTTTTCTTACAGGTAGTCCACCCTTTCTATGCATATTGGCAGAGTTTCTGTACTCAGAAAAACTTTGCTTGGAAAGAAGAATATGACACACGAAAAGCCTCAAATCGCTGGGAGAAACGAGCTATGGAGAAAGAGAACAAGAAAACGAGAGAGAAAGCAAGGAAAGAGAGGAATGAACTGATCCGTCAGCTAGTGGCCTTTATTCGTAAAAGGGATAAAAGAGTACAGGCTCACAGAAAACTTGTAGAAGAACAAAATGCAGAAAAAGCTAGGAAAGCAGAGAAACTTCGGAGGCAACAGAAGCTCAAACAAGCCAAGTATGTAAATGTGGAACAAATTTTCTTTTTGACTTGGAGAAACTATCCGTGATGTTACAGTATAGAGTTAGATTCCTCTCCATTTGCTCTTCTAAGCATGCTTGAAAATTTCAGGTATTAATTTTGGTCTCAAGTCTGAGCTTTTTAAAACTTAAGTGTCTGCATTGTACAGACCTGTAGAGATCTAAGATAACTGGAGAATAGTTATCTGGGTACTGTGGGTGACTGGATGAAATATCACAGAACCCAGTGTGGCTTTACTTAGCTAAGTAAGATTTAATAGTTATTGTTCCTTTAAAGAAGAAAGAAGGTAAGTTTTAGAATGAGGGAGAACACAACTATGACAACCTGGACTTGGATCAACTTCGTCTGCCTTGTAGCTGCTAAAAAGGAAGTGAGAAAAATGAACTTTTTTTGCTTTTCCTTTTAACTCTTTGGAAAGGACCCTTTTATTGAACTAAATGCAGTTTCTGGTGTTTTTATTTTTCCCAAAACAGGAAGAGGTGTTCTTCCGAGTGTAAACACGGTTTATTTTTTCAACTGGAAGAACTATTTGCCTGCATTATGGGAGGAAGGAGCTTAAATTCTTAAGAGTGCACTAGCAAAATAACAGCATACCAATTAAAATAATATAATAATTAATATATATATATATGCGCATATATATTTTCTCCCTTTAGGGACAATGAAACATAGTTATGTGTTTTCTGACAAGTTGCTTGATAATTTTGAGTCCAGAAGCCAACTGGAGCAAAATTCAGCTGTTCTGTGATGCACTGATTGATAACTTGGGCCACTTTTAGTTTGGGAGGACTGAGCTGGTACATTCCCACACTGCACAGTCAAGGAGTAATGTACTTGTAGATTTTGTGGTCCTGTGTTGTTTGTGAGTTTGGATCTTACAGCAGGATTGAGCTTGCTTGCTGTCAGCTTGATACTGACCATGCTGCACAGCATGTTCTGCCTGAAATTCAAGCAGGACCCACCTAGATTAATATTTCTGCTTGCAACGTAGACATGCCCCATTGACATCACAACTTAACTGCTCAGATTTCCAGGCTGTACAGGCAATTGTTTGCTCCATCATAATAGGTTCAGAACTTTCCTCCTGCAAACCTGAGAAAAACAAGTTATCTGTAAGTAACACTGTTTCTGTAGTTCCCATCTCATAGACACAGTGTAGCACTTACTGTATTATTCTAATGGCAGGCTTGCTGAACAGTATAAAGAGCAGAGCTGGATAACTATGTCAGATCTGGAGAGAGAGTTGCAAGAGATGGAGGCACAGTATGAAAAGGAATTTGGAGATGGATCAGATGGTGAAGAGGAATTAGAAGAACAGGAGACAAAAGGCACTGAAGGTATGGTATGTGAGGAGGTGATCTCTGTTGAGTCATTGCAGCCTGAGTGTTGGCTCACTTACAGCCCCAGACTCGCAGTTCTGACTGTAGTGCAACGCTCTGCCTCCTGCTGAGGGTGTCAGGCTAGAGTCTCTCGTTTTCCTTAAATTTCTTCTCATGTTCAAAGGAAAACACCAAACTACAGCTGTTATGTTATTGTAATGTATGATTTGGTGAGGTAGTCTTGATCTGCGTGTGTGTCAGTGCTGTGACTATTTTCTGGGGCTTAAAGAGCACCTTGCTCAAAAATTGCTCATCTGACTTTGTCTCTCTGATCCCCACTGATCTCTTCAGACAAACTGAATGATGAAACTGGAGAAGCTGAATTTGTTGATGGTCTGTACTGCCCTGCTTGTGACAAATTTTTAAAAAGTGAGAAAACGTAAGTGCTTGTGGTTGGGGAGTTGGGGGTGGGGGTTGGGTTTTAACTTCTTTAAAAACGCATTTTAAAGACTTTTTAACATCCATAATGGTCAGTGTTGTCTATCCAGTAGAGACACTGTCAGTGCAGAAACTTTCATACTTTGTAGTGATGGATAATAGGCTTGTTATTAATTTATATGTAAATGTAACAGTGTTTGCTCACAGCAACCTGCAGTAATGATCTGGTCTTTACAGCATGAAGAATCACGAAAAATCAAAGAAGCATCGAGAGATGGTAGCACTGTTGCGACAGCAACTGGAAGAGGAAGAAGGAAAATTTCCTGTGTCTTTGGATGATGCAAATGAAGTAAATACCAAAGAGGAAGAAGAAACAGAAGACATGCCCAAGCTGAAGTACTTTAAATTAGTTTTAACATTATGGTGACTCGTGATTTAATAAGTGTTGGTGGCCCTCAGAGGGAGCTTCTGATGATTTGCAGTTGCATTGGAACTCTCAATATTGTGTAATTTGAAATACTTCTTAGCATCAGAGCTCCAGTAAAATGCATGCATTAGTATGACTGCACTCAAATGCTGTAGAACAATAGTCTTGTGTTTTCTCTGCTGCTTAAAGTTACATGTTAAAAGAAGGGATTGCTATTTTTCAGGGAGGTGAATTCACACAGAGATAGCACTTATTGATTTGGTACTTTCTGTCAGTTAATTGCTGGCATTTATGGAAAGTGAGTGTGTTTAAAATCAGAATTGATGAAGTAGAGCAAAATCCCAGCTAACTCACTAGTATCTTCAGGCTAAGTCTGAGCAGAATAAATGTTTTACTAATGCAATGAGTACTTTAGGAGACCTATTGTTTTAATTTCAGGCATGACTAACTCTCTGTGCCTACTGCCTCTGTAGTATCATGTTGAGAAGATAAGGGAAAAATGTAGCTTGGCACTAGTTTTGGTGGTTTGTTTGGTTTTGTTGGTTTTTTTTTTCATGGAAAGAGGTATTTTTAAATTGTTATCTTTACAGACTCTCAAAGAAGCAGAAGAAGAAACAGAAAACAATGAAGGTATGTAGTCATATAATGATACTTCGGGAACTTTACAACCTGGTTTTGTTATTTCCGAATTTTTTTTTTTTGTCCTGTGAAATAGGAGAACTTGAAATTCCACATTCTTACTTTGACTTCAGAATAATTTTTATTACACTTTATTATCATAAAATATGATCATAATCTTTTAGACCTCACTTTGTTCTCTTTGTGCAGATTTTAATATGTGGTGCTGGCTCTAAAAAGGCTAAAGAATAAAGAAAATAGATGGAAATAGGCAGACAGGGAGAATGCAAGGAATAAATCAGAAAGACCAGCAGTGGCCTTAGTGCATTTAGCAGTTCAGTTTGATGTTGCTTTTGTTTTTAGTTGCAGGAGTTGGGTGTAGTGTATTGTTTGTTAATCTCTAATTTGGGGTGAGGGGTGAAAAGACTAACATTGTATTGGCATCCTGCCGTCACTGTAGCTGTTGGAATAAACACGTCCATTCTACCTTTCACTTGAACTGTAAACAACAATCTGTTGTATTCCAGGATCTGAGTCTGTGCATGATATGACAGATTCTGTGCCAACAGCAGCAAGTGAAATTCACCGAGCTGTTTCAGGCTTGAGTGGCAGATGTGCCATAGTGAACACACTCTTCTGTCTACTTTCCTCAAGTTTTGTTCTTTTCAAGTGTTACCTCTTCTCTACTTAGTCCTCAGTCCTACCTTTATCTCAGTGAGCTGTCTGTACCAGATCCTGCCTCTTCCATCCTTTCCCAGGATCATCTTCTGTTTTCCCCCAGCCTAACCCCTCTAGTCTCCTATTCTCTGTTCACCTTCTCTGCCCTCTCCCACTGCATCGTTATCTCTTGTCCTCAGGAAACTTCCTTGAGATTTACAAGCAACTAAAGTTTTCTGGCTTCACATTGGTTGGTCCAGTTCATAGTCCAAGTCATTGCTGGCTTGACCTTCGTGTTTCCATGCTGGCCATAAGGCTCCAGTTAATTCTTTCCTCCTCTGAGATCAGAAGGGCTGTTCTCAATGCATAAGTGGCATACAACCACCATGGCTCTGTTCCTTCAGTTTGGGAACAAAGCCTGCTGCAGCCTGGACAGTAGGTGCCACTCTTGCATAGCAGGAGCTGAAATCTTGTGCACAGGGATCCTAACCTCCATCCTCTGCCAAGCATTATGGAGTACAGGGAATCGTTGTGGGTTTTGTTTTCTTTTCCTGAAAGTAGATTAACTGAGTTTTTTCAGGTAGCTGAGACTCTGCACTAGCGGTGATAGAGTTGCATTAATGTAGGGTTAGGGCAAATTTGTTACCCTGCTTTTGGTAGCTTTGCTGTTTTGCTTCAGGCACGGGGTTGATATTTTGCTGAAATGCTTGTATTGATTCTAATCTGGTAAGTGTTCCTAATGTTAGGGAAGAAAAATACAGTGTGTCTATATAGTTGCAGTCAGTGCAGTTATTTTGGCTCAAGTGTCCTAATGCAGTTGTCTGGTACAGAAAACCTTAGTCTGAATAATTAACCTTTTGTGAAGTTACAAGCCAAGCCACTATCTGTGAAATGAGAAATGGTAGTCAGAATGGGATAAGCCCTGTGTATAATTGAAAGCTACCTTCATTCTCCTCTCCTATAGTTTTAGAGGCTATTTTATTGGTGTTTCTTCCCTTTACCACAGGTAGCCTCATCTTTCAAAACAGGATAACTAAGGTTTTATCTGTTACAATCTCACTGAAAACACACAGTAAAATTAAGAGGGTCCATGGCTTTCTTTTCTCCCCACCCATGTTTGAAGTAAATAATACTATAAACATAGTCACTAATGAACTGAAACTATTTAACTCGCATTTCCTCTGTTTGGACAGAGTTATGAGGACCCTCTTGATCAAAATGCTGATGAAGCAACAGTTGAACAAAAGGAGGTGCTCAGCATGGACAAGGACAGTGGCTTGGCAGAGGAGTTGGTAAAAGATGGCCAGGGATGTGCTGTGTCAGCGGACCCAAGCACTACTGATGATGGCAACCAAGAGAACGAAACAAAAAGTGAAGTAAAAAGGTGCGTTGGGTCACAACATTGCAGTCACCATGTCATTTTGTGTCATGTTTGATACTGTCAAACAAGTCTAAATTTACAAATGTGAACTGTGGGGGCTACTCTCTAAACCAGGTTTGAATAAATATGATACTAAACAAAGAGTGTAGGACCTTCTTTGGAAGTGGTGTTTGACTGCAAATCGCTGCCATATCACTTACCAGTTGCTGATTCAACGTACTGAGATGAACAATTGATTGTATAAATTAAATAATTCTTTTTCTGGATGCACGTACATTGTGTTGTGTGAAGGAAGAACAGGGGAAAGCAGCAGAGAAACTGATAACTGAAAAGCATCAGAAACTCGTAGAAGTTGAATGTTGCTGTGCACTGATCTTGGTTTCTGTCTATTAACAGCACTAAGCCTAAAGGGAAGAAAGTCAAGGAAGGAAAAAAGTGTGCTAAGGCATCTTCAGGGAACCCAGCAACGGTATGTCAAATTACTTACACTATTTAAAATAGAATCATAGAACTGTTAAGGCTGGAAGGGACCTTAAAGATCATTGAGTTCTAACCCTCTTACCATGGGCAGGGACACCTTCCACTAACACCCGGTTACTCAAAGCTCCATCCAGCCTGGCCTTGGACACTTCCACAGGATGGGGCATCCACAGCTTCTCTGGGCAACTTGTTCCAGTCCTCACCACACTCACAGTAAAGAATTTCTTCCTAATACCTAATAAAAACCTACTCTCTTTCAGTTTAAAACCACTACCCCTTGTCCTGTCGCACTCTGCACATAAAAAAGTCCCTCTCCCTCCCCTTTATAAGCTCCCTTAAGGCACTGGAAGGCTGCAGTGAGGTCTCCCTGGAGCCCTCTTCTCCAGGCTGAACAACCCAGCTCTCTCAGTCTATCTTCACAGGAAAGGTAAAATATGGTGGTTATATTACTACAAACAATGTTGGTTGTTTTGATCACCTCTAGTCCACAAATTCTATTTCTGTGTTTTTATTAGAAGCTAGGAGACTGGAATTTCAGCTCTTGTCCCTGTGGAGAAAAGCAGGACTAAGCTTCAGTTCTAAGAGATTTGCTAAAGTTGCTAAAGTTCTGTATCCAAGGCAGTTCAAATAAATTAAACATCTGAGGACAAAGCTGCGACAGGCAGTAATATTTGCATCTTCCCCAATATAGATGCTTCCCAGAGAGAGCAAAATTTTGTAGTAAGTATGGCTAGGACATATTAAATTCATTACATCTGAGAGCCCAAAGAATAATGCGTATAGTCAGTGAGGTCAAAAGTATTCTCTACCTTGAATTAGATTTGCAAGGCTTCCATTGTTGTTCTTAGTTTTACTTAGACTTCTTTGAAGTATCAAGAAGTTGTATCTGCAGGTTTTAAAAAAAATTCATATATTTATTTGTTAATCAGTATTGGTGATAGAAACAAAGAACTTATTCACATTTCATTGTCTAAGAGAAACTGCATATGGTGTATTACACTTATTACATATTCGATATGAATGTGAAGCATTCTGGGTTTTTTATCGTTGCAGAATGAAGTTTCCATCATCTGTGTAACCTGCAACTGTACATTTCCATCCCGAAATAAATTGTTTGAACACCTAAAAGCCACAAACCATGCAAAAGCAACATCCACATCAGTTGCAAACGAAGCTGTAAACACCAGAAGCAAAAAAGAGAAACGCAAAAACAGATAGGACTTTGCTACACTGACAGTCTTCAGCATCATAAATTAAAACTCTCTGAAAACTGAAACATGCACATTGCCTATGTCTGGAGTTTAACAAAACAAGCAGGTACCAATTTGGGAAAAAAATGAAGATGCAACAAAAGGAATACCATCTTGTGAAGGAACCTGTGTTTTCTTTTGGGTTTTTCAGCCTTTCTTTAATCACAGAGTGGTTTGGTGGCACGGTCGAGGCAGGGGCTCCTTCCAGTTAAGGCCACTTAACCTCGCAGTATCTTTCACTCTGAGAATGGGGATAATAACTCAAAGCTACTCACCTTGTATTCCTGTAGAAACCTGCATGGATAAAGTACCCACAGATGGGAAATAATAAATTATTTTGACACTTGTCTGGCTGTTTGTCTTTTGAGAAGGCTTATCTCAGGGTGCACGTAACCAGTAGCAGGGCCTGTACTTCTTTGATCCTCTATCAAAGATGAAACGTAACCAAGACATGGAGAAACACAGGCTTTTCTTCTGCCATCCTTAAATTACTTAAATTACATTAAGCAGCAGACAGAAGGGAGAGACTAAGATGACAAAGCTGTTTAATCACTTTAGACAATTCCTATTTGTTTTGTACATCTACCTCCACAGCAGGTGTTGGAAAAATGGTCTAGTGGAAGAGTCTTGCTGGAATAAGTGAGGGAGAAAAAAATGAGTGGCATAAACAAATGAATTTGTTCTGATTTCTAATGAAGAAACATGGCACTTATGTTTAAATGCTTAATCTACCTGATCTTGAGTAGCACTTGAAAAAATGGTGGGATAATAAACACCTGATTTTGGAGTGGAATTGGATTGTACACGGGAGTTGTCAATGCAGTTGAAGAAAGCAGTGCTCTGCAAGGGCTATAGGATATTGTTTAGGAAACTTGTAGAAGGAGATTCCCAGACGCACTGATACTGTGTTACTTAAGTTCCTCTAAAGGTTCAATTTATCACAAAAAGCAGACTCCCCAAGAATACTCTTCTCCCCAGGCTGACGTGGTACTTTATTGAGTCAAGGAATTATTCAAATGTTAAAGTTTGAATTGAAGTGAAATTATAAATGTCCAGTTCTTGCTGACTGTCCATACCACTTTTTTTTTTTTTTTATTGAAAACTGAAGTAAGCAATGAACTAAAACACTAAAAACAGTGATTATGTAAGAAAGCAACAACATTTTATTTCACCAGCCAGAGTTTGCACCTTTGCTAAATGATTAATGGGTGTGCTGTGCAATCCCAAAAGCAGCAGGAGGAAAAGAAAAGTGTATTTTGGAGAGGGTGATGACTGGATTCTAATCCCCATGATAAAAATAATTACTGTAATTAGAAACATTTCAACTTTGTGCAAACTCCTAGTAATGCTCTAATTACAGTGTATCCCTGTAGTCAGGGTACATAGTTTTAACTCTGAAACTTCCAGTTTCCTTTTGCTTAGGGTGATTCTCAGCTAGAGACTGTGCAAAATCTGACAGAGACTGGAGTCACTGGAGGGGCTCTTTCTGTCACTCTGTCTAAAAACGACCAATTTCAATGTGACTGTCACAGATGAAAGAAGAATATATATCTGTGTCTTCATCTGACACTCAGTTAATCCAGTCAGGGTTCTTGGATAAGGCCATAATAGATGTGTAGCTAGGCAAGGAAACAAATCAAATCTACTTTGCAGCTGCTCTTTCCATGTGTCTCTGTAAAGCAGTACGGAATACTTCCACAGCAAAGTCGACGTCCTTTTTAGTAATGCACATAGGGGGCTTAATTCTCAATGTCTGAGGAGAGAGAAGAAAAAAGAAAAAGAAGTCCTAAAAATTGTCTGGAAAGAATACAGTTTCAAGCAACCCATCTAGGTCAGCACTCCCCTTCTGCTCCAAAAAAACTGTGGAAAAATAATAAAGGAGAACAGCATAGCAGAGACTGAAGCTTATGATAAGTGCACTCTGAAGTGGGGCAATTTTGGACTTGAATGCATTTAATTGCATCTGACTCACGACTCTCCTCTTGATAACCTGACTGCCTCCACAAAAGAACTGACTAGAGTAGGTCATGTCTGCAGCTTTGTTACTGCAGACAGAACTAATGTAAGATCTCAGGTGGGTTTGTTTTAAGAAAGAACAGACACAGATGTATTTTCCTTTCTGGCAGCTTTGCCACAGGGAAAAGTGGTATCTGCTGAGAGTGCCAACCTCTTGCATTGTGTCAGCTGATTTGGTGGTTTATTATAGGCTTTTTTTAAAGGCTTTTAAGAGAATGCTTTATGAATGAATCACTAAATAGCATCCTTTAGTTAGGGTGCCATAGCTGGAAGGCACGTTGATCAGAAAGGGATATATGTACAGCTAAACTTGGCAAGAACATCGGCTCTTAAATCCAAGTGTTTGATCTATGTTTCCAGGAGTATTTAACTTCCATAAGAATCTTAAACTTCCAGTTTAATTTTTCTGTCAGCATGTCACATGACTTAGTACAGCAAAAGCAGAATAATGGCCTTTCCCACCCACAGCCCTTAGTGAAGCAAACACAGATGAACAGCCCTCTTAGACAGAATCAGACTTTACTACACTGAGCTGCAGCCTATTACCCATGTTCTGCTCTTGACTTGGGAAAGAACTGATGAGACAGATGCAGTGCATAATTTACTTTAGCCACCTTCCATCTCACAGGGAAGCTGCTTCCCCTGTGTCAGAGGGCTGCAGTGACCCAACCTCATCATGAGGTACTGCATCCTCAGCTGATGTCCTGGGTACAGCATCCTCAGCTGGTTGGGCTGATGCCCATTTGGCTTCAATCCTCACTTCTGTGTTGCACTGCTGAACTTGCCATCAACAATTTTTTTTTTTTTTTTAAATTACAAATAGACTGTTATCAGCTCTCCAGACTGAAAGAACTAGCAAAACCAGCCTTGTTTAGTGCTGACAGGTCAGGTGATAACCTAAACTATAGGAAAGACTTAGCAGGCCTGAATATTGCTGTGTTTTTCTAATTTACGTAGACTTTGGTACTGTAGTACCTTGGTATTCTAGGGGAAGTTCTCCTTCTGAAGGAAAACTCCAAGGCTTTGAGCTAGTCCAGCATACTTGAAAAGATTAAAATAGCTCCTGCCCAATTCAAAAATACACATTAAACAGAAATACTTCCTAAGGGTATACTTTTTCTAGTTTATTTACTAAACTGAAGTTAATTTAACTTGAGGGAATCTCAGATGTAGTTCATGAGGATAGAAAATAAGCTTTATTTATAACCTGAGGTTCAATACCTGATTGTAGAGCCCTCCTCTGCCGATCAGAACCCCCATGTCTTTACAGTCCTCCCAGATCTGACCAACTTCTTCAGCTGGAAGAGGGCAGCGACTGTCCTAAGGAACGCAAATATTAAACTTCACTTAGATATTCTAAATTAGTTCTATGGAAAAGATGTCTATTCAGGTCTCTTCAATAAATCCCACTCTCAACTCTACCTGAAAATTTTATCATAACTTACCTGCTTTGATGAGTTTATGCAATTAAGGTGCACGTCATTGGTTACTCAAAGCTTGTGAAATGGCCAAATGATGGAAGGTTCTGGCTCATTTTTAGCCAGAGCCATGTTTTCTCACTTCACTGGCTGCTTTTTAATAGAAAATATTCCTACTATTTCAACTGAAATAAAATGTGATAAAACTTCTAATGGCACTGTAAATTGAAAGGAATAAAGTAAGACACTAACCTTATCTGTCACCATTTCTACTCCAATCATAAGTCCCTTGCCACGAACATCTCCAACAATCTCGAATTCATCCCTTATTTTAGCCAGCTCCAGTAGCATGTATGTTCCCACATCCTCACTGTTCTTTTGTAGACCACCTTCTTCAATAGCCTGGTTAAAATGACGTACCATGACAGGAAAAACTTCCAACACATTTTGTTAATCCCCACTGAGCTTGACAACTGCATTTATCTCACTTTCTTGGAGACTGTGTTCCTTCACTACTTCAGTGCTTACATTTTTCTTCTCTTACAGGCTCCTAATGGCATCAGAATACAATTGAATGTAGTATTTTGAGTTTCTGTGGCATTTCTCACATTTATCTGATTACTTATGTTTAATCCAGTAATTATTGCTCACGTGCACTCATACTGGAAAATACCTGACCAGAAGGATTATTTTCAAAATGTCACCAAAATATTTTAATTCTTTCTCAGTATCATGAGAAGAATATATTAGACAAGGCATATCTATGTGTACTAGGCAGCCTTTTAGGGAACAACTTGAGTGTTTCAGTTATATTCATTCACTCATGCCTTTTAATCACAATCTTTTCTTTGTTCCTTACTTTGCCCTCAATTATCAAAGTTCTGATTTGCAGGCACATGTTGGCACCCACACAGAAACTATGTATGAACATAACGTCTGCATTAAGAAAAATCACATAAACAGCCCCCCCTATATAATTGCAGAAGTGGTTGTTTTTCCTTTTCTTCTTCTTTTTATTTTCTTTCAACTCCATTTTATTCTTCCTGAATCCAACAATCTCCATGGAATTATTTCAGAGCCAGGCTCCAAGTTACTTCAGAGTGAAAAGACTCTGAAATACTGGTTCTTTCTTGTCTGTGAACACTTTTTTCAAAACGTTTTTAATTATATGATCATCCTTCTTATAAAATAGTTTAAACCCCCCAAAACACTTGGGAAAGTAACATGAGTAGAAAGTGTAACTGTAATCTGGAACCGTAATCAATTGTAATCAATCAACTGTAATCAACTGTGGAATTCAGGAACGAATGGTCTGTACATGATCAAGATAAAATGAATAGTGACCTACTACCCACTGACTGATTTTCTACTGGATAATAACTGAAATTTGCTGCAAATTTTTGTGTTGTCTTTTTCATGAGGGATTTTTTTTTCCAGAAGGAATTCTGACCTTAAGTATTTTTAACTGTCTAACCACCAGACCTTTGTTAGGTATAAGGCAAAAGCTGTTGAGTTGAAACAATTTTGTTAAGTATGTGTGCTAGAAAATAGATCTGCTTTAGCTGAGGATTTGTGTAGTCCTATGAAATAGTAAGCTAAGGTGTTTGAGAAAGTACTTTCCTACATTTTTATTAACGAAGTAAAGAACCGAAGGGAGATGAAGATGGTTCTGCAAACATAATTAGAGGGCTCCTATTCTTTCTAGAGATTTGAAAATTTTTGTAATTAACCTAATCAGAATTTGTACTATGCATAGAGCACATTGGCCATGTATGCATAATACATGCCTATGTTTATGCACTTTATACAATTATTTACAAAACTGCCCACACAGAACTTCATACATGTAAACATTTTCCATTTTTTGATACAAAAGGAAGTGTGGTGTATATAAATTTACATAACATTCTCCTTACATCAAGAACTGCAGCTCCAACGACGCAGGCCAGAGGGCTTCCTCCAAATGTATTAAAGTGAAGGTTTTTTGCCAAGGAATCTGCAATCTCTAAAAGAAAAAGGACAACACTGGTTACTCTTTCAGTTCATAGAATCATAGTATCATAGAATCATAGAATGGTTTGGGTTGGAAGGAACCTGAAACCCCCCTGCCCTGGGCAGTTACACCCTCCAGTAACCCAGGTTGCTCAGAGCTCCAACCAGCCTTCAACAGTTCAGGGATGGGGCATCCACAGCTTCTCTGGGCAACCTGTTCTTGTGCCTCACCACCCTCATAGTAAAGAATTTTTTCTAGTATCTAATCTAAACCTACTCTCTTTCAGTTTGAAGCCATTCCCCCTTGTCCTGTCATTACATGATCTTGTAAAAAGTCCCTTTACAGTTTTCTTGTACCAGAAGGCTGCAATTACGTCATGCCAAAGCCTTGTCTTCTCCAGGCTGAACAAACACAATCGCCCAGCGTTTCCTCACAGGAGAGGTGCTCCAGCCCTCTGGTCATCTTGGTGGCTTCCTCTGCCTTGTTTGGTAACTGTACTTACCTGCTTTAATTAAGTTACATTTGGTGCAGTTCAACCTTGATTCTACTGGAGACAATGCACTAAGATTTCCTAGAAGCAATCTGTGCAAAATATGACTATTTCCAAAACCTATAGTGTCTAGCAAATGCCAAAGAAAAACTTTTTAAAAAACATCACACCTCCAACATATGCTGTCATCTGACATCTACAAGCTTTCCTCACTAGATTCAGCCATCCATTTGTATGAATCAAGCAGCTGGCTAACATGCAGTACATTGAATAGTAAAATGTTGAATTCTGTAAGGATTTTCATGCTCTGTTACCAGCTCAACACATGACTCATGTGGTCATTCCTCCTTCAGTTTTACAAATAGCCCCATTTAAACACAGCTTTGTACTAACATAGCACAACACTTTGTGGGGACGGAGAAACGACACAACGACCTCGCGATCAATAAGTGCGTTCGATTTATTGTCTATAAGCTGTCATTTTTATAAGGCATTTAATAAGCTCATACATATTGCAAAAGCCAAGCTCATGATTGGTTAATTTTTTAAAGCTGCTTACATTTGTGCATAGCTATGTCTACAATTCCAACTCTTCTTCCCTATCTGCAGTACAAGGTCTTTCTTTTGATTCTTATTCGGCTGCATGATCAAGGAGACAACTCCCAAAGAGCACTCCGTCTCTCAGTAGATACATTTTCTCAGTGACCCTTATCTGCTAACCATTCCTGAGCTATGCTGCTCAATGACACATCCTCCACAACACTTGGTAAAACAAATGAGTAATGAGAATCCAATTAGTCAAAAGATACTTTGAGACAAAGCTTATTAATAAAACTCAGCTTTTTGAGCTCACATCTCTCAGTAACTAACTACTGTGCAGTACATTTTGTAATTACTCTATTTTAAATCGTAGCAGAACAGAACACATACCTTTGGTTGTAACAACAGCTGCCATTGGGAAGCCATTACCAATTCCTTTTGCCAAAGTAACCATATCAGGGACTACATCATGTGTTTGGAATCCCCAGAAATGGCTACCTGTCCGTCCAAATCCTGTCTGTACCTTTCAAAAGGAAAATTCAGAGAAAATCCCCATCACTTTCTCACACTTTACAATATATACTGATTTGCATTAAACTGCAACTACATCTGGAGTCAGCTTATTCAGATAGGTCTGCAAAAAATACTATTTATTACAATTGGATTTTTCTTTCATGTGATAACACACCATCATATTTTAGGCCTGTTGAGATGCACAAATAAGATGCAGATTCCATGTCAAAATGGTGAAGAAATGCAGATGCTTATGACATTTAAAAGCAACTCCAAGACTGCTGATTTCTGCCACTGCAATGCTTGAGGTATATATCACAGTCACTTTGAAGCCTTTGATACTATTTCAAAATAGTTTTAGCTAAGGAAATTCTATTTCTAAAATATATTTGCAGAGGTACAGCAATCAAGTCTCTTCTATATTTTATGTCAACAACATTCCTAGGAGGAATGGTATTGTGACAAACCTCACATCACAACTGGCATTTATTACCTGCATATTTGTGCAAATTAACTGCTCCCAAAAGGCAAGGACTGAAATCTGCTACAAACATTACCTTTGCTTAAAATAAGAACAAAGGCAGCAAAAACGGGCAGGCTCCTACACTCAGAAAAGTGTACCATGTTAAACTTAAGCTATGAAGTGCATAGCATTTAATTTGGATTCTTCTGTGACAACTTTTAGAGGTAACCCAAATTCTAGAGCTCTCATGTAAAAAAACCCAACTCACTTCATCTGCGATACAAATGCCCCCTCTTTCCCGTATCAGTCGATAAGCTTCCTTTAAGAAATTTCTTGGGTACTGAACAGCTCCATTAACACCCTGGCAAGAGAGAAAGACAATGTCTCCAGGAACAAACAAGGAAACAGGAAATTCACTAAGAAAAAACCCTGGGAGCCCTCAGGTAATAGCAAGACTGTTGTCTCAAGTTTCTGGCTTCAGCAATGAAGTTGGTTCAAAAAGCTTCTGCTCAGGTCACTCATTCCCATTCCACAGTGCTGTCTGCTGTTCCTTAGCTGTGCTGGTATAAATGTTCGTGAGGCTATACCGTGAACTGGATGACTGAATGAGGAAATTAAAAATAAACTGCCAAAACAAGGACCTTGAAAACCTTAGCACAGGGAGACCCAGAAACTGTGTTCAACGACAAAGTTGAACAGAGAATTCACATTTCTTCTTTGGTTAATCTGTTTAGAACATTGTTTCATCAATTTCTTTTTACCTTGACAGTTTTCATTTGGATCAGAAATCCAATTCCATGCTACTCCTGAACTGTAAAACAAAACCAGAGAACTGCTCCAATTTTCTTTGGGGTCACATTTCTCACACTTTTTTTTTCTTGCCCAAGATAAATTCTTCACTTTTCCTACTGAAGAATCACATATACAGCTATTCTGAACATCAGATGAAACACTAAGAGAATGGGCCCTGTGGCCACCACTTGCTGGAAAGCTGTTAAAAATATAGTGGACAACATGACTTGGAATATGTGGAAGGTGTTCGAGTTAAAGTTTACAGAAACAGTAGAGAAAAGCCGTATGAAAATTGGAAGAAGGTATTAGAAACCAAACAATAGCATGCATCATACTCACTATTTAAATGCAGAAGAAATGTGTGTGTTTAATCACAATTCTGTGTATAGTTTCAGCAAAATTTCAGCTCCATTGAAATCAGTGGCAAAAGCTGAAATTTTAAGGCAGTGCATCCAATCTTTCAAACATTTGAGGGGCTTAAGGCATTAAAAAATTATAATAAGAATCAGCAAAAGTCTATGTTCAGGATGTAGCTGAAGAATATATGATTTGAGTATTTCACACGATTTATGCTACCACAACCGTGAAATGGCAAACTACCTACTTGAATTGGTTCAGCAATAAATCCAGCTACTGTCTTAGGCACTGAAGTGTTCAGAGTATCTTTGAACTGTTCAATGTACTGGTCTTTTGCATGACATACACCTGTTTACAGGGAAAACAGTTTAAAGGGAATTTATTTAATATGATATAAAACTAGCTTCAAAATGTGAAATTACACATCTAAGCAACAAGTATTTTCTGACTACATGGTAAATATCACTTCTCAAATACACTGTAAAAGGTTAAACATTAAAGGAGAGTGCCCCTTCTTTTCTTTTCAACCGTGTATACTCTAAGGAATGCCAGTTCCAAAACATCAAGGCAAAGCTGACAGAAAATAACACTCATTACACAGGTCAGTATCATCTCTGTCAGCAGAAGGGATAAGCAGACATTTTCTCAGGGGTTAGTATACTTCAGCATAAGACACAAAGAGTCCTTAGATTAGTGCAGGTACGAGGATTCTGGAGAATATAGCTGCATATCAGTCTACACTGAAATAAAGAACAAAGCAATTAGTATAAGCAATGCTCCTGGGAGGGCAGAACTAAAAAGAAAACATTCTGTTACATATGCCTGTGAATTAAATTACTAAAGAGCACTTTTTGGAAAAGTGGATAAAAATTATTGTAATTATTGTTAACAGCAGAGCAGTAGAGGAGCTTTCACACTGTGTTGTGTATGGGAAGTTTTCCCCAGATAAAACTTTTGCCTATCACTGGCTCCAGGTTGTCACTAGTATTTGCCTTATTCCAAAAGCTGGAAGGCTGTGAAAACTTCAGAAAACACCATCAACACTTCTCTTCTTCCAGATATGTTAATCTGAGTTTCAGAGTTGATCATGACAAATACTGGAAACAAAGGTTGGGATTTCAAGAAGAAATCTAAGAATGAGGCATCACCTATCACCTGCCTCAGATTTTTCTCATTGGGAAGCAGAGTCCTAAGATTCTCTGCAATATTTTCTTTGGTTGCCCTTGCAAATCCTAATCAGACGTCTACCTTTCTTGAGGATGTAACTGTAACCTATTTTCACAGCTCTCTAGTATTCTCTAATTTAAAAGCCAAAAGCTTTTTGTCATTTACCAACCTTCAGGACAGCTGCATTTTCGAACAGTTTGCACTGGAGAATCTCTACAACGACTGCCTCCCCATGGACCACGAAAAACGTCCGGTAACATTGTCTGTCAAGCATAAAAGAAATAGCTACAGCTTTGATGACACCTTTCTAAGAGGTCTTTTGATCTAATGACTAAGGACAAAACAAAGAAGATCTGGGAATAACACCAAACTTCCCCCTCACAAACTGATGGAAAAGAGACGATTTTGGAACCAACAAGTTCCAAAACACTCAATTCCAGCAACACTCAATTGATTTTTTTTTCATTGTTTTGTTCTTTAACTTAGTCAGCCTATTGGCTATCTAAGATTAATGCCAACATTTTAAGCTTGCTGGCAGTATTTCTATAATTTGAAGTATGAAAAAAATCGGCAAAATAGAGGTAGGCAGGCAGACCCAGCAGGGTGAACTCCAGCTTTCTAATCCTTGCTGCACATAAGTTGAGGCAACTCACTGGGACAGGCTGGGAACCTGCTATAAATGAGCCTTCCTATAGTCAGTACTGTGGCTGAGCTATCACCAGTAGAGATTGGAGTTGCAGTGCCAGCTTCTAGACAGAAGGTTACTTCCATCTGCTCAAGGGCAGGGAGATAAAATATTGCCATTTAACCCCAAAGGATCTACTTAACAGATATATCTCCTGTCTTGCTGAAAGAGGGTTTCTTTTCATTACAAGGAAGGTTCTGCTTCAGACCATTTAAAAGCAGCTTTGCACAGATCTGCCAAAAAAACGAGAAAAGGTGCTCTGATCATTATTATTTCACTCCTTACCTACACTTCCATTGAAGCACCAAGCGTGAAACTGCAAATCATGACCCCTCATGTTACGGTTGTCCCAACTCCAAATTGCCTAAGTAACTACACAGAGAAGAAACAGGGACTCTGCTTCCTGTTGAGCTTACACAGTAGAAACAGCTACACTGCAGTTTAATCAGTGACCATAAAGCACTTGAGTGCAGAAAACATACCAATTGTTGAAATATTCAAATAAACTGTTAGTTACCCAAATTATTTAAAACAAACAAACAAATAAATAGATAAATAAATAAATCTCACTGTTGTACAGCCAAAGCCATTGGCAACACCATGCTTATAAGAACCAAGAGATGTCAAACCCAGTGTATAAGGGCTGCCTCCGTGGTAGGCTCCTCTGTTCAAATAAAGCAGATGAACATTATTCATTTCCAAGAAGAGTCTGAAGCAATATTAATTCTGAGAAGGCATGCTTCTGAGCTACAAATTATGGGCAAAAATGTGCATTGTTGCACTCAAAACAAGAAGATTTCTACTGCCATTTTTTGCTCTGGTTTTCGAAGATCCACGATTGCCCAACTGCAGTGGCTTCCTGCAATTTCAAATGTTAGAATTGTGAGGTAATGTTTGCAAGGAGAAGAGAACAATGATTGTAACCAACAGCAATTCAGACACTGTCTCAGTAAGTCCTGCTGTAGCACCTGAGCCCTGCACAGCAAACATCTCTGTCCTTTGAATCTTGGAAACCACTGCTCTCTCTAACAGATGCTGCCAATCATTAAATCACATGGTGGTTTGCTGTCAGTTTTATACACAAATCAGAAGTTCATTAATGAGAATATACAAGCGAAGGGGGTACCCAATGTTAACAAACACAATAACAGAAAAATACAGCTCTTCAAAACATAGCCTTCTACTTTAAAGTTTTAGGCTCCCAATGATACACAGCAAAGAGAACTGCTTACACTGGTGATTACATTGTACTGGTGCTCACCCCTGCACCACCTCTGTCATTAAGCCAGAAGAGCTGTTTGTGTACCTGTGCAGTGAGCTGTGGTTCAGGGCTCTGGCAGAAAAACAAGGCAACAAACCAAACAAATAAAAAAAAATCCTTTCACCACTCAAGCTTTCAGCCAGAGCAGTTCCCTGATGAGGTTCACTACTCCACTGTTCGGAGGTACCTCTGCATCCCCACGAAGGGGCACTGCAGAACTGAAATGAAGTGAGAAAGCAGCAATTGCTGAATCTTGCTCTGGGCCTGCACAAAGGTCCACCAAAGCACACTTCAGACACAGAGACCAGACCATTTTCAAAGTAACATAGGCAAAAATTGCAGGTTGTGTTTTTATTGCAAACTAGTCTTACCATACTGTATCAAGACTTCAACTCCCTTCAACTTCAACTCTTTGTCAGATAAAATACTTCTATAGCATTCTTCCCTGCAGATCTGAGGGTTAAAGAGTTCCCTACTATTTCCTGATTTAGGCACATAGAGACTGATCACACACACACAGGAGTTTTGTAGACATCTATGAGCATTACCTGAGAGAGATGATGTCGAAGTTACGGGTGTGTAGCCTTGCCATGAACATGGCTAAATCATTGGCCTCTGACCCGCTGTTGGTCAGATAAACCACCTGTGGGAGATTGCTTAGGATCAGTACAGCACACAGTCTTGTTAGGCATCAGATCACGTCACTCTGTAACACGATGAGCTAAAACCCATTACTGCCACAGGGGGTGAATTCACCACCATGAACTTAGTGTCGCCCTTACACTATAGATGAGAACTAAAATCAAACTGATGTGCTCAGGAAGAGTACAGAAAAGTCTGAAAGAGTTTCACTTTACAGATTTTCCTAAGATGGAATATTGATGGGTTTCACTTTACAGGTTTTCTTAAGACGGAATACTGATGGAAAGAAACTAATGCCTTTGGTCCAGCTGAACATAACAATTTTAATTTTTTTTTTTGAACCCTCCTTCAATCTTTAAAATTGCAATAGCTTCATACTCTTTCGCTAGCCCAGTTTCATTTTATCACCAGTTTATTTTACCTGAAAACAAAAATTTTTTTCTGCTGTTTCTCTGCATATGAAATGTGACATTTCTGTGGTTTCTTTATTTAAATGTCAGCAAAGCTCACTACACAAAATTCTGTAAAATACTTTTCACTGTGAATTTTCATAAGATCAAGCTGCATATAAGAATAGTTAACATCTTCTTAGTTTCTTCAATAATTTTTAAGCTGGCAATGCCCCTTTACAGTGATGAAGGGAGGGAGAAAACAAACCGAACGGGAGCTTGGGATATTATGCTTGTCTACATTAAGGTCTAAAGGAAAGGTCTTGAGGGTCATCACGCTCTTTATCTGACAGTCCCCATAAAGGTTTTCTCTCTACAGTTGTCACGGCTCTCATTTATTTAAGAAATATTTCTCATAAACAGGCACCCTCTTCACCAGCCCCTGCTCCTGTCAGAAGCCAAGTACCTTCAGTGGATCTGGAAAAAGAGAAGTCAGCTTTTCAGCATACTCGTGGATCGATGGGTGCATGTAGATATTAGTGGTGTGCCACAGGCGAGCAAGCTGTTTCTGGGTAGCCATAGTTACCTTCCTGCATGCAGCACAAGACAAAGGAATTCAATTCCACACACATTCCACACTCATACATGCACACACCTATTAATTCTGCAAATGCTGCACCATTTGCCAGATGGATGAACAAGCAGACCAAATTAATGAATTCTTCAAAACACAGCAGAAGTCAAGCTCAATGTAAGTGATACATGAAATTCAGTAAATTATGTTCTGGTTTTAGGCTCACAGTTTAATGAGGCACAAAACCAACATGGTTATCTCTTCCCGTATTTTATACCATAAATCAAAAAGCAACACACTTACGGGTGACAGTGACCAACACTGACAGTGACAATTCCAGCGAAGAGATCAAGGTATCTTCGTCCTTCATAATCAAACAACCACTGCATATGCCCTTGATGCAGCAACAATGGCTTCTTGTAATACATTCGCAGTGAAGGAACAATATTTTGTTCCCGAATCTTCTGCATGCGTTCATACGGATAGGACTGAGTGGAACAAAAAAGTCAGTACCCATTTATGCTTTCTAAAGATCCAGACTAATATAACTGTAGTGGAACACACAGATTACAGCTCTCTACAGCTGTTGTTCACAGAACTAAGATTTTAACAAATTCTGGCACATAGAAGGTTCTACAAACCTTTGAAACTCAGCTTTTGAAGGAGGACTGCTGTTCTGCACGCTCCTTACAGGTTTTCAAATGAACAATGTAGTACAGATTGGTCACACAGGTACACCTACAGGTTACAACCAGGTTATATCCTGGTTGTAACACTTCAGTTTTACACAAAGAAGCAACTTTTATAATCATATTTAATGCACTATTATAGCAGATGAGTCTATCACTCAAACACAGTAATACAGTTTTATTTAAATTTAGTGCAGTATGCATGACTTACTTTGTATTTTTCAGGTACAAAATCACAAGGAGGCATTTTTGCTTGTGTGGAGACAGAGCTTTTCCATTTCTGCTGCCTGAAGAGAACTACAAAATAATAGAATTATCAAACACTTAGCAAAGTACACATCTGAAAGAGTGTCTCAATGAGCTTGTTCAGAGAACACACAAACTACAGTCAAAGGAAGTTTTGGAGTGTTCTTTTGTCTGAGAAATTTTCTTTGGGGAAAAATAAGTAACATCTTTGTAAGGGCAAAAAATTAAAAAAAAAAAAAAAAAGGCCATTTTTTCCTAATCCACTAAAACTCAGTTTTCAGTTTCACATGGACTTTTATTTTGACAGAAGACGACTTAAAAACCATATTTCTAATACAAATTCTTATCTGGAAGCAGTGAGAACAAGCATTCTCTGCAACGGCAGAGGCAGGAGCCCGGGGTGACTGCAGCACAGGCAGTGCTCTCAGGGACCAGGGCACAGGCCCAACAGATCTGAACAAGGAGAGCAAAGCAGGGTTCACAGAGAATGCCCCGCATAAGCGGTCAGAGTCCACTGAGGGCACCCAGTCAGGAGCAGCAGCAGATGGGGCCAGAGACAGGGCTGGTGACAAGGCCACACCGTTAAGTCCAAGGTCCATCCAGGAGACAGAGGCAAGAGCTGGACTGGTGGCAAAGGTATTGCTCCTGGCACAGCTGAAGCAGGGGGCTGAAAGTGCAGGGCTGAGCTGAATCAGGGCTCGTGGGCAGTGAGAATGGGCAGAGGCCCTGAGTGAGGCTGATCAGGGCAGCCCAGGTGTGCTGACAACTGACAACTCCCACTGCCACCTTCCATTCCCTCTCCAGAATCCTGGGAACATCGCACTGTCCTGCCTCTCATTTAACTGCAAGTGCAATTTAGCAGGTATCACAAAGAGATACCTGATTGCCCAGAGAGGTCCTGGAGTCTCACTCACTGGGGATATTTAAGAACTGTCTCAATCCTGACCCATTCTGTGATTATGTACTCCTGTGAAGAGTTATTTAAACTTTCTGCACCCCAAACACTACACATTTTTTTCTAAAAGCCTGATATAAATTACATACACTGTCAATCCTCTTACAACCACTTAGAGCACTAATGAATTAATCATCAGCAAGAGTCCAATCTCAAAAAAATTAACTGAATTCCCACCAGTTAGGGAAGTTCTGCCCTTAGAACTCTTCCCAAGGGATGTGCAGCTACACCGAACGGGCTTCCCCCCGCCCGCCCCCACGTCCAGACAGGGTGTCCGTGCCAGCGAACGCAAACCCGCAGAGAGCGGGGTCCCGGATCGCCAGCAGACCCGCTGGATCGAGCCCCCACCGCGACTCCTCGGCCCCGCTTAGGGAGGGCTCGGGCAGCCGTGTCCCCCCGTCCCGCCCCGCCGGCCCCTCACCGCTGCCCAGCGTGCCCGGCCGCCGCGCCATGTCCGCCCTCAGTGGGCCGCGGCACCGCCCCCACACGCGCCCGGGCGCCGCGGACACCGCGCTGGGCCCCGCTGCCACCGCGGGCTGTCCTCTGGTGTCACCCGGTGCTGTGCCCTGGTGTCACCCGGTGCTGTGCCCTGGTGTCACCCTGTGCTGTGCCCTGGTGTCCTCTGGTGTCACCCTGTGCTGTGCCCCGCTGCCATCCCGGGCTGTGCCCTGGTGTCGTTCCATGCTGTCCCCCTGGTGTAATCGCATGCTGTGCCCCCAGTGTCATCCCATGGCCTCCCATCATCCTAAACCGTTTTCTGCCATGAAACTCTGACTTCTGGTCGAAGCCTGACCCCTTCAGAGGGACCTCAACAGGTTGGAGAGATGGGCAGAGAGGAACAATTTGAAGTTCAACGAGGGCAAATGCCGGGTCCTGAACCTGAGGAGGAATAACCCCGAGCACCAGACAGCCTGGTGGTCAATGTACTGGAAACCAGCTCTGTGGATGGGCTTAACTCTGCCCCACACAAAATCCTGGTGGGAAACAAGCTGTCCCTGAGCCAGCAGTGTGTCCTTGTGGCCAAGAGGGCCAATGGAGTTGTGAGGTGCATTAGGAAGAGCACTGCCAGCAGGTCGAGGGAGTTGATCCTGCCGCTCTACTCAGCCCTGGTGAGGACACATTTGGAATGCTCTGTCCAGCTCTGGGCTCCTCAGTACAAGAGACACATGGAGGTCCTGGAGCAGGCGCAGCAGAGAGGTCCAAAGATCATTAAGGGACTGAAGCACCTCTTTTATGAAGAAAGGTTGAGGGAACTGGGCCAGTTTAGCCTTGAGAAGAGAGAATTGAGAGGGAACCTAACTCATCTATGTCTATCAGTATCAAAAGGGAGGGTGTCAGAGGACAGAGCTAGGCTCTGGTCAGTGATGCCGAGCAATAGAAAAAGAGGCAATGGGCAGAAACTGATTCCTCCATTACCTTCCAGTAATGGAGGTGGTTTAACCCCAGCCATCAACCCAGCCCTATGCAGCTGCTCACTTGCTTCCTTACCAGTGGGACTGGGGAGAGAATTGGAAGGGTAAAAGCTAGAAAACTCATGGTTTGAGATAAAGATGGTTTAATAGGGAAAGAAAAGGCCACACACACAAAGAAAGCAAATCAAGGAATTAATTCACTGTTTCCCATGGGCAGGCAGGTGTTCAGCCATCATCAGGAGGGCAGGGCCCCATCATGCATAATGGTTACTTGGGAAGACAAACTCCATCACTCCAAATGTCACCTCTTTAGTCAGTATTTTACATACTGAGCATGATACCATACGGTATGGAAGATCCCTTTTGTCAGCAGGGATCGCCTGTTGCAGCTGTGTCTTCTCCCAGCCTTCCATGCAACCCTGACTTCCTTGCCAGCATGGCAGTATGAAACACAGAAGAGGCCTTGGCTCTGTGTAAACCCTTCTCAACAATAACAAAAGCCCCATACCAGCCACTCTGAAGAAAATTAACTCTGCCCCACCCAATATCCTCGTAATACTAAAAGAACTAAGGCTCAACGTGGGTTTCCTAGAATGGCAATTGGCATACGCTGTAACTAGGCACAGTTGCCAGTGAGAGGTATTTTACAGGTTTTGGTGACCTTGGCTGCTCATAAGGCAGAAACCTGATGACACCTAACTTGAAGGGCAGCCTTTTTGCAGGAAAACTGCCCAATGTTGCTGCAATGCATCAGAGATTTGTATCTTCTACTAACCAGGGCAGTGCTTACTATACCTTAGGATGCCCGACTGCTCAGCCTTTCCCAATCAAATTTTACTTTCATTAACTTGAAATCCCTTAACTTCAGTGATAATTGTCACGAATACAAGAGCCATAAAGAAGCATAAACGTTGTGACCTGGTGGGTGAACCATCTGTGTTAACTGGTTCAGTTGCTGAGTGCCTGCAAAGTATCTGTCAGCAGGTTCCCATCCCACAGACTGTGTTGGATGTCTTGCTTTTCCCTTTTCTTTCTATGTATTATATACTGGAATTGTTACATATTGTGACAAAAGGTAGAATGTGTGAAATTTATTCAAGAATTTTTATTAAATTGAAATGCAAACACCATTGCAAAGAGGTTTTACAATGACAAAAGATTGAAAATTCCATCAGAAAGCTACAGACTTCAGAACAATATTGATCTTACAAGTGAAAACACTAACAGATTTTAATAAAGCCAGCATTTTCAATATTACAAACTTAAAAAATACATTTTAAAGCATTTTCCTTCAGATTCACTTAGAAACAATGAAGAATTCCTGAGCAACTATTTTTATACCAGTATTCTCCAACCCATGTACATACTACATATGAAATCTAATTCTTACAATTTCTTATATTTTAGAAATTTACTAAAAATTTGGATCAGGTTCACAGAATAATTGTGCTTAAAGTCATTCTGTTGCTACAGTAATGACACTGTGATAACATTGATGTTCCAGATTGCATACAGATTCTGAAATTTTAGTGGGAAAAGTGCCTAGCTTGTATTGCAAGGCTACCAATGAAATGGTTTATGCAAATGGAAACACGTTGGCTTTAAATATTGGATCATGCCTTTCTCCACTGAAAATATATTGTTTACTCTGTGTATTATTCAGAAGACGCAATTTATGTTTCTTTGAGAGACTGCTGGCACAATTAAAGGCAAGGAAGTTCCAGAAACTTTTCCCTTCACTTAACAGGGCAGCAGAAATCTGAAAAAATACGATTAATTAATGAGTGCTAACATATTTTTTTCTGGGCTGTACTTTTTCATACCAGTGCCCTCAGTATTGCTATATTTTACACAATTACTATAAAATATACAAAGCACAATATAAAGATTTCAGAAGCCGAGATAGTGCTGAGTATTTCTGAGCAATATAATGCATATATGGAACTGATGGTTGTGTTATTTCAGATGGTGAATGGTATTGGTAGTCACAATTAAAAAAATTACTTTCCAAGATGAAAAATAAACATTAAAGCTCTTTCTAATTATACTGAGCAGTAGTTTCCTCTTCCTTTTGGAATGAAGGACACATAGATAAAAATTAAGAGTAGTCTACAGTATTATGAATTTTTAAAAATAGGTTCTGACATCATTATATTTCTGCCTGTAGAAAAATATGCCTCTTCCCAGACATATGTAGTTTTCTGTCCTTTTGAAGGAGAATTTTCTACATGTGACTTGTACAAAGATTTCCAGCATCCTGTAAAAATTCCACTCAGTGCTACATGTCTCTAAAACTGACCATTGCAGGAACTGAAGTGAAATCTTTCAATTTTTACTGATGTCAAAATGAGGTGAAGGTACTCAGCAGCTCATAAAAATAGACCCAAAAGCAGCATTATCCAAAAAAAGTTAAATAAAGACAAGATACAAGACAAGCAGCATCACAAAGTAGAAAAGGACATTAAACCTTCCAAAAATAAAAGAGGAATATATAAAAAAAGACTTTCTCATATCTAACTGCTCTATACACCAATATCTTGAGTATAAGATCAGCTTTTAGCATATCAGCACTGTAAGAGGCCACTCTACTAATTTAAGTATTTTTCATTACTTTCAACAGATATAATACTGTCTCTTAAAACCTTAACTTAAACTGAAGAGATGTATTTTAAGCCCCTCTTGGTAATCTTCAAAATTTACCACCAAGACAGGGACTTTCTGTTTAAGGAAAATATTAACAGATACATTGTCCCAGGTACAAATTAAAACAATGCCCAGAAATGCCAAGAGATTGTTTTAATATCCCCAAAGTATTTTTTCTCTTGAAACTTCTAGGTCTTTGTATTATCTTTAATAAATAAAAACAGAAAATGTTTAAGAATGGTTGGCATATGTGTGGGACAAAGTAAATGGATAAATACACCTAATCTGTATATCTGCCTGAAAAATCGAAGGTTGCTTTTAAAAGCAGTGTGGTACACTTTATTTCTCTGGAGCTTTTTTTCCTTAGGAATGTAGGAAATGCAACAGCACATCAGATGCAGAGTCTAGCTCTTCAAGTATTGTTTTTGACTAGGACCAATATCAGATATGTGGAAGAAAACCCTGTAACTGATAGAAAGTGAATGACAACTTCTCATGTATAGGCCTTTTTCCTTCATATGTAATAGCTGATCCATAGTAGCTGATTCCAGCATTTTACCAGCTCTTTAGCATTTAATAAGGCTTTACTACTTTTGTGGACTATATCAGGTAGCTGTGCTTATTCCCACTTTTGATATAGAAGTATTTTTCTCTTTTTTTTTTTTTTTCCCTCAGTAACTCATTTATCACTCCTCTCAGCTATACTAGTTCTCATTTTTTCCTGTCTACTCTTACATTTGATTCTTTCACTTCCATTTTCTGTTCTCCCTCCTTCTCTTCCCAGTAGTAGTCAAAATGCATTTTTCCCCTCATCATCTACCCATGTACTGTGCTATGGTGACTGTACTCCTTTTCCCATTCTGCCACATACAGCAACCTTGTCCCTCTTCTTGTAATTCAGTGGTGGACTCGGCAGTGCTAGGTTAACATTTGGGCTCTATGGCCATACAGGTCTTTTTCAACCTAATAGCTCTATGCTTCTATGATCATTAAGCTCTTTATATCCCCATATATTATATATTTATGTATCCACTTATCTTTATTTTCCTGCTTGACATACACAGGAAAGATGAAGAAATTCCCTGATTTGTTTCAAAATAATTTTCAAGGTAGGATCACAAAATTTGTTCAAATTATAATTCAGTCCATCTTTCCACACCCAAGGGAACTGGAGTCTGAATTTAGTATGAGGGTTTGAGAGTTGAGAGCAGGGCTCTCCATTTTTGCTCATTTAGAGACAGAAAAGATTTACTTGCTAGGAACTCAGTTGAAAACAGGTATTTCTAAATAGCAAGTATTGATAAATTCTTAGATCCAGAATGAGGGCATCTCTGGAAATTCGGCTCATTCAGCCCTAGTAACCTGGCACCTCAGGTCAGGAAAAGGACTGATGTTTGACTGCCAAGCTGGGAAATGTGGCTTTTTATACAAAATGGAATTTTCAGTGGTTTTTTTTCATATTAAAAACATTTAATTTTGCCACACATCTCAAATATCCCATCCTCATACTACCAGTGCAAAACAAGTGATGATTCCATGACAAGCTGTTTGTTAACAAAAATAATTTGGATTTAAAAATAAGGTTTTTTAAATCTTGATAGACGGATTCACTATTTTGTATACAAAGCAAAATGGTTTTGCCTGCCTTTTAAAGGGAGAAAAAAAAAATCTGAGGTAGCAATTTTTTGAGAATATGATGCCTGATCTCATGACACTCTTTTCATTTCATTTTTCTTTATGGCTTTGTAGATGTCTGATATCTATAAACTGGCTTAAGTGACTTCAGTTTCCTTGCACAACACCTTCAAATTGTTTTCAATTACCGTAAAATTATGAAATACACTTACAGGTTTCATGAGGTGAACCCCACATATACAATGCTTCAGAGAGCACAAAAAAATTCTGCTTATTCATTTTGAACACCTGCTGCTACGACACTTTAAAATACTTAAATGACATTTAAAGCAACTGTCTATTTTTCAGCCATTTAAACATAGACACATAGACAGATATACTACAAAATTCACTGCTTCAACATAAATCATCATTACATATTTGTTTTAGAGTTTGTTCCATAAACACATATATCCTCTTACTCATATTATATAAGGTCAGTTTACTGCACTTTTATGAAATAATCTTTGTAGTTACATGGTGTTATCAAGACCAGTCTTCAAGCCTGCATTGTATGTGACAGTGAGGTTTGTGAGCACATGCGCCAATTGAATAACATGTATTTCTTTAAAAGTCTGGAATACAACACTTAGATACTAAAACAGTACATCAAATATGTCTTTGCTAAAAAAAAAACGTCTAATTGGAAAATGCATGATAATGAATCATATTTGCCAGTATTGAAAAAAGTTAATAAAATTAGTCTGAGTCAAAAGGAAAGATAATTAATTAAAATAAATATTCAATTTTATGAATTTTATAAAATTAATTATTTTGAATAGTCTTTATTCTTTCTTTTAGGGATTTTATGCTATTACAAAGTAATTCACACTATAAATGACACATGCATAGCTTTGACATTGAAAACATCATTCGCACTCTTGAAATAATTACTGAAAGTGAAAAATTTGACTTATGGTGCAAGAGCTAGTGATCTAATCACTGTTTCTGGGGTAAATTCTGTTCTATACTTCATCCCTCTTGATATCAGAGGAGGTGTCAAAAGCCTGTTATTCCCCACTGGTGTGTCAGATTTTTACACCAATTGACTGTGTACAACTGCTGCAAAAGCTCATCTATTTCCTAATAAAAAGCTTAAAGAACTGCAAGTAAAAATATTGTCACAAACAGAAAATTAAGTATTTGAACATTCAAAGGACCAAACACTTAGCTGAAGGTTATTCTGATTTCACAGAAGAGTAGTTTACTATTTTTTCCATATACTTTCAGATGTTAAAGGTCACTTTCAGAAGGTGTTGCTCCGCCCTTGGGAGTAAGAAGGTATTTCGGAAAACATAAGCAAATCCAAGGAAAAAATAATCAATCTGCACATTTGTCCATCTTAAAGAATGAAATATATTTATAAAAATTGTGTTTAGATTATATCTAGCTAGCAAATCCCTCAAAACTTCATGTAGTGAGCAAATGTCCCCCTTTTCCACTCTGGCTGAATTTATCTTTTCACTGAGAGCCATAATGATTCGGCATATTGAGACATTCATCAGCAAAGGTGGAAGAGAATCAACACCACAAGATGTTGTATAGGCTACAGTTATTTTGCAGTTTCAGTGCTAATTTATGACAAAGCACAGAAACTCTTCGACCCTCTCTCTCTGTGAATTACTGGAGGCACACATGCCCATGGGATGAATCATATACTTAAAATCTGCTGAAAGTCTTGCCCGTTTGACTAAGGTACAAAGTAACCACTACCACAGCAACAGTCTGCTGCTGTCGGAGGTCATGTAGTCACATGTGCTTTAATCTATGAAATCCACTATATGAGCAACATCTTTAGGCTGTGGCTTGGTAAAATTCTATAGCTTCTGTGCATCACTAGATACATCCCAGAAGGCCTGTAGCAGCATGTCTTTGTGTACAGCATTAGGTGTAGGAAACAACACAGATATGACTATCTGTGTAAAGAAAGAGAATGTGTCTGGTCCGGATTAGCTCTGCCAGATTCAGTCAGAAAACTGAAGTGTAAATGAAACACTGTCAGACATAGTGCATAACCAGCTTACATATTTGCACACAGACAAGTTGCTGTCCTGCAAAACATTCCATTTTTTCCTGATAACTCAATAGTTTCTTTGCAGTGTTTTTAGCATCTGTAGAAATTTGTAAGATATACTACGAAAAGTATATCTACAGTAAAATTATTCTGTTAACCATAACTAAACAAAGTTTTATGTCTGGCTGCTCTCTGGAGTAGCCATTTCATGCCTTCAAGTGTTAAATAAGTGGATGTATTAAGAATAAAAGATACCTCCCCACACACTCATCAGAGCAGCCAGACTGCACTGATCAGCCTCTGGAAGTTGGCAGTACATTGCCTGTATAGAGAACTTAGGCTCCAAATCTGATGCCTAAAGTAAATGTTACAGTCTACACTAACACATACGTTTATAGACACACAGATAATCAGTTAAATTCCTAAGTCCTGCCTGTGGAAAGGCTAAACAGCTTGACTAATCTGAACTTGAGCAGTTCCATGGCAAGGGAGAATCTGATATGTGAAATTAGATGTGGCCTTCTGGGACCTTCAAAATCTGAAATTCTCTTTTGGCTGGCTCTGCAGCAGGTACCTGATACTGCAGGAAGGCTAGCTCAGTGCATAAAATCATGAAAATATGTAGAAATGTAGAACTGTTCAGGAAGGAGAAGAACAAATGAGAGCCCATTTAACAAATACACTTTCCTTCACATGTACAGAACCATTCCCTTACCTTATGTTTCCAGTTTCCCCTGAAGCTAGTGAGACTGGCTAAATATTTGGTCCAGTTTTAATCAGTCATCACTTGGCTGTACTTTTCTGGAGTAAATTAAACTTTCATTTCAAGAAAGAAGAACCACAGTAAGTCCACAACCATTACAGTATAATTTTGATTCTGTCTTCGGTTACATGGGATATGACGGATCCTTACTGTTCTCTCTGCTGTTCTGGGGACATATGTCCAGCCCTACCACACGGACTCCTTTCCTTTTTCTCACTGCTATTTCAGCAGAGCTACGACTCAGACTTTATGCCTCTTGTCTTAGAGGCTGATCTCCAAAACTAATGTTCATAAATTCAGTATGAAAAATCTGACTTCAAACTTTCCCTCCAGACTCAGAAAAAAGTACAATGACTAAGGATGCAGGAGAACACCATTCCATTCACTATTGGCATTAGACTACAAATTCAAAGGGAAAGAAATTTTGCTCTCAAAATCTAGATTCTGTTTTAATTATATAATTATAGGTGATAAAAAACGTGTGAAAGAAATAATTTACAATTTAAATAGTAATATATCTGTAATATATTAGAAATATAGTTTAAAAATTTCTTCATATTCTTAATTAGTATAAAGTTTAATTTCATGCTTTGTATAGAAATTGTACCTTTACTTGTTACTGCTATTTTAGCAGAAGGAAACAGAAAAGTTCCTAAGTAGCTAAATAACACCGGGAAATTAAAAAATATTTTATTTTGCTCTTTTTTTGGTAATAGAAAAATAGCCTTTAAAATACATTGTTAAACATATGGGCTTATATTAAAGTAGAACTTTATATTATATACAGTAAGGCATTACATCAAATATTGTCCTGCTATTTTTTTAATGTTTGGTTTGATTGGACTAGGATATGAATGGGATGCAAAGTTTTCTATCACATTGAAACAAAGCAAAAATATCTTTAGAAGAATTTGTTATTTTACTGTAATTTGTAGAATATATTCTTTTTATATTTGATTTGTCATATACAGTAACTCCTTTTTTTTCGAGAATTGAGAAAATATATAAAGAAAACTTAATCTTGTGTCAGAATGCATTCAGAAGAAAGTACACTGTAGATAACAATACTGTTGTGCAATAATTTATCTAATGTAGGAACTGCTCCAATCACCATGGTGTGCTGACTGACCCATAACAATTTTCATCTTTGTTGAACCTGCAGTACTCCCTCAGGCTTACTCAATTAACAGCTTTGCAGAACTGAATAATTATTTTGCTATGTATTTTCATGGCAGACAATATCCATTTCCTCATTTCACTGTGTCAGAAACATGTGTCAATGCTCCAAGATTAACTTCCATGATTATGACCTCAACCCACTGTCTATTTTATTATCTGTACAATACACACAGGAGACTAGGTTTTTGGAGGCTAGGCTTTTTGAAGAACTGTTTGCTACGTTATTTTGTTTTACTGGACATATATAAGTATGTACTGTACTAACTAGTTATTTAAAAGAGGGCATAAAGGAAGATGGGTCCATATACTCTGATCCACTGGTCTCTCTTTTGCAGTCACTTGGAGCTGTCAGGCAGTAGCTCATATTTTTCTCAGCTTGACCTTGCTGAAGGTTCTGTGATGTTTCCATTGTAGGTTCTTGAGATACAGGTGTGTGCTGGATGCGTGAATCTGGCATTAATACTAGAATATTATGGTCCACAACTGTTGAGACCTTGGTATATTCTTTGCTGGTTCCGGGAACAGTGTATTTTTCAGTCTTTCCACTATTATCTTTATGTTTCAGTAATACTGTTGGCTCCTCATCTTGTCTGACTTTATGAACTTCTACATAGTCCATTAGTTTAGGATTCAAGAAAGGTGACTTGTCATTATGTCTGTTTTGTTTGACCTGCACTGTAGTTTGCTCCGTTTTGGAATTCTCCATCTCTCTTTGTGTTTCCATGTTGTCATGGACAGTTTCAGTGATAGGATATCGTGACTGGTGCTTTTCTTCATTTCCCACCAAAACTGGTGAAACATTCACATTTGTGGTACTCAGTATTATCTTGTGTGCCTCCACAGTACTGTGGTAGGCAAACATAGGGAGTTGATTATTAGGTGGTAACTGAACTGCAGGCCATGTGGATGACTTTGTAGTCTCATTGTTAAAAAGGAGTGTTTGCTGTTCTGAGGCTACACACTTAGTTTCCCAGCTCCTTTTTGCTCCTTTATTTTCTTGAACAGCTCTTACGTCTTGTGTTTGAAGTGTTGATGGAAGGGCACGGGACTCCCTGCACTTCTCAGAGAGCATAGAAGGGCTATCACAGCTTCCTCGGCCCGAGTCACTGTCTGTTTCTTTGGGTATCATTTTTGTATTTTTACTGGGAGTGTCATGGCTTGGCATGAGTTGCTGATCCTCACTGTCCTCTACCTCCAGATATTCTATCAGTAGTTCCTCACAGTCTGATGTTGGAGGGAAACCATGGCAACCAAGAGCACTCAGTAATTCTTCAGATTTTCCTGTCTAAGGGCATAATAAATAGGATATAATTTTTCATTGTCAACCTTAGGGTTTATCTGACTAGAGCAATTGTGAACAATTTACATATTTGCTATATAAACACTTCAATAGTTATATCACTAGACCTAAACTGGATTTCTACTGCTGCAGAAAACACTGAAAGAAGGGAAGAAAATTTCTTGAGTTCCTTCAGCTGGGAGACACAACCCCGCAATTCATGTTTCTAAAATGGGAGTACATGGGAGCTGTTGGCGGGTATGGGTTCTCCTGGGTTTAACAGAAAGAAAGGAAATGAAGTAGAATGATAGTGCAGCCATGTCCTGCCACCTCAGCATGGTAAGAACTACTAGGACTTCCATAAGAACTGTTAGGAAGATCACACATGCATTTCCTCTGGTGTCCCAGAAAAGAGCCATGGTCACAAACCCTGTTCTCAAACACTCTCCTACTACAAGTGCAAGGCAAAACTGTCTCACACATACTCTTCACATGATCAACCTGAAAGTGTTACCTATTTTGAACACTGATTAACTGAAGGAATTTCATACTTTACTAGGGTAACTGTGGTTCCTAGTACTTAAGTTGGAAAAGCAAGTAATAGCGAATTCTTTTGTCATTAGCTGTGGTACTCACCTCTAACAGATGTTTATCTATGCCTTTTATCTTTGGTCCTGGAACTGGTGGTAGGATAAAAGCCATCATTCTGAAAAAAAACCACAGAACAAGCACACCAGGTGTAAGTATGGGTCCTACCTCACTATTTGTTATCCCATTTCCTTGGAATGTGACTGAGATTTTAAAGGCTTCTCCCAAATCTGATATGTCCCTGTTGGACCTCTGTTTCCTGTCTACCTCTCAAGCCAGGTAATTCACAAATCCACCCTTAGGGGTATTTATAAGAAACAGAACAGTACAAAGTTATTCAACTGGAAAAGTAACACTGATAATATCCTTTTATTGTCTTTAGTCTCTTAACCTCTGGTTCTCTAATACCATTGTAAATTCATCACTGGCCAAGAAACAGCAAAATGGGGCACAGTTCAGGAGAACTAGGGGGCCTGTCTATGCATACTTGACTGTCAGATGTCTACTGCTCAACAGGATCTATGGTGAATGACTCAGCTTTTCCAACCACAGTTTCTATCTCTTTCTTTTACTCAGACAGTACTTTTTTGCAAGACTTGTAGAAAAGCAACATCTTTCTCTTTCAAATTTGATTGAAATTAGCCAGCACTGTAATAAATTATTTGAGGAATTGGCAGAGAGGTGGGCAGAAAAACAATCTCATAATATAACCTTGTTCACTAAGGAAATTACAGCAAGACCCAAAGGCATATCTTCTACAGAAGCAGGGATACTCCAAGTGATGTTTGCTGAATTATTTACATGGCTAAACCAAGACTGCTAGATCTAATAGAGACACGTCTAAATCAATTTAGAATTTAGCCTGGTTTCCCTATGGAGCAGAAATACTTCCTTATCAGTGTAACTAATAGTTTGTCAAAGAACACAAATGCTGCAGGAAATTGAGCCAAATATTTTAAGTCTGCTTTTGAAAAGTTTTCTGTGATTTTGAACTCCATGCATTTGTGAAATTGGTGACTTACCTGTACCCTTTCAAAATCATTGTCCAGCTCATGATTAAACAAATTAGAGATGACAGGACACCAACAATGATCCACACAACCATATCTTTTACTCTAAAATCTAAGAAACAAACAGAATTATATAAGGACATACATCTAGTATATACATAGTCAGCACGCAAAAGAAGTCAGACATGACCTTTATTTTAAAAATTGGCCTAAAGTGCCAAACTTGGTATTGAATTTAGAGGGCTTCACCAGCATATATGGATGTCAACAATCACTGTAATATCTAATAATTAAAATAATTTTTTACTAATGGTACTGCACAGGAAATAAACTGTTTTGGAAAAATTATACAAAAATGTATGAAGAGGAGAATCTTGTCACAGGCATTTATAGAAATTGGGTTCAAATCCAGTGATATCAAAACCACGGTCATTTCATTATCAAATACATGCCATACAATTCATTAAATGGGGGGTTAAATGACCTAGGACTAGCTATTTTAAAACATTTTTATTGTTAAAATAATACTTTTTATATTGAAGTATTGATTTCAAATTAATTCCATATAAAGATTAATAAAAGCTGTTACTGTCTGAAGGCAGTCACATTTTGTTGCCTGTGTCACAGTTTTAAAGCAGTTACCAGTGTTCTTTTAATTAAAAACAACCATCATGAGAACAAATGAGGCAATAGACAGAAAGGGCATGGTTTAAATAAGCAAGAAATTTATTCTTAACACCATAAAGTAACGAAGGGGAAAGCTAACTGGGTATGGTGCAGGGATGAGAAAACTTCAGTTACCTTAGCAACGATGTTCTTGCCTGTCCTACAGAAAATATGGGATCTGCACAGGTGCCACAAACAGCTAGCAAACAAAAATATAACATGAACTTGTATGTGATAACAATTGCTGAAGGAATGCCTGGCCACTCACCAGTAGGAATCTGAATGTACATTTCTGGGCTCCACTCGCTCCATGATCCGTGGTGGTCTGGTTTGCAGTGAATCTGTACAATGTACCTCTTTCCAGGATTTAAACTAAACATTTTACATTGTGTTTGCTGTCCAACAAAAATAGTCTGGAAATTAAACAAAAATCACAGCTAAGGTTTTGGTAACCAAGACAGGAAAATAGAATGAGTCTGCATAGCATTTCCAAATAATTATTAAGCAGGTATGGAATAAAGGTACATTGATTTTATTTCTATAATTTAGCTTTCTAACATCAGTGGGAATGAGATCTGGCTTTGTTATACAGTGCAAATTAAGCTACTATAAAAACACATCATGTGCTTATGGCACATAGGGAAGAACTGTGGTAATGGTGGGAACTGCAATGGTGAGAGCAAAGAGAAGCAGGCAAGAAACAGATGGGGGAAGAAAACGCAGAGAGAAAGAGGGAATGTGGAGTTGGTAGAAATTCACAGGGTAGTAAAAAGTAGGTCTTTCAATGGCCAGGGGGCTGTGAAGTGCCATGGGAGGGGGAAGGAAGGAGAAGACAGTTTGGAAGTATTGCAGACAAGAAGAGGGTGCAGTCAAATACCAATAGCTGGAGTCTTTCATTTGCCACTCAGTTGTCTGAATTGCAGATTCTGGCTATAGACAATTATTATTATGTGGCCATTTAAACAACCACCTAACGGCCATTTATATAAATTTAAATTATTTTACATAATGTCACTGAACTTTCTATCACCTAAGAAGTGCTCATGGTGAAGAACAAATTATCACAAGAGAAACCTGACTAAATGAGAATGAACAATTTAAACTGTCATGCCAATATGATTAATATAAAATGACCACAATTAAAACCAAGTACTGCTATCATACAATAACATCTAAAATAACAGTGTTCTCAGTAGGAAATCATACAAGTACTTTTGAAAAATTATGAACTATTCAGTACCCCTGCTTCATTATATTAATGCATGGAACCTAGCTGAAAATATCTAATTGATCAGAAAACATTATCTAGCAAAAGCTTGCAGCATCCTTACCTCCCATTCCTCTCCTTCTTCAGGCTTTAGTCGCAATTCATATTCAAGAGTAAGCCATCCAGATCTGACATCAGCTAGTGGAGGTGGAGACCATGTCAGGACCAGATATGGTTTTCTATTTACTGACTTTTTTAATTCCAGAGTTATATTCACAGGAGGATCTGGCTGTACTGTTAAAATAAAGAACTGTCAAAAAGAGTTTTAATTATTTTTTCTTTGCATCCTACGAAGAAATATAAAATTATGTGAGTGAAGAGTCATCACCTTCATTGTGTCCAGTAATCTAGAACTGATGCTGGAATACAGAAATCAAGAGTTTCCAGATAAAATAAGTATGGATTTATGAATTTAAAAAAAACCCTGAAGACTAGTAAATATGTTGAATGCATGTTGAAATTTGCTTTATTCATTAATCAGCAAAAATTTTTTTTTCTTACATTAGCAATTATTGTTGCTTTTCCCAACAGCTATGTTTCAAAGTTAACATCTTTAATGTTGTGTTATGGAAGATGTGTTTTATGACACCTTTATCAAGGTTTGGTATAAATATTTAGAAATGTTGCAAACACAAACGCAGCTGACGAAACTTGTCCCCTACATCTTTCACATTCAGAAAACACAACCGCGTAATCCCAAATGCATATATAAGATATTCAAAAGTAAACCAAAACAGCAATAATAAAGTTCTGTCTATATCTCAAAAATAAACCAAAATGAAACAGAGGTTTCTGCTCAGACAGGTTTGCATCTTCCTCAGTTCAAAGGCAGAGCTTCTGCATATATTGTGCGTGTATTTTACCACTGTCTGATGCAAAGCTTCATCAAGCAAGAAGCTGTGGCATAGAGATAAAATATAAAGCCTCTTCTTCAGCAGCCCTTTTCCAGTTGCCAGACTCCTGGCAGCCAGATCCTTGGCAACAAAATGGTTATCAATGATAATGTTGCATTTCCTTAGAAAAAAACCCCAAATACTAGTCCACAGTCATTCTGCGGAAAGTCTGAGGGAGAGATTATCAATACACTGCTATAAAAACCACTAATGCAGCTCCTCTTGGGTCTGGAAACTACTTTTATGTAATCAAATTTAAGTAATATTTGTTAAAAGATCAATTTGATTTCAGTTGCTTGTACAGTGGAAAAAAGATTTTAGCTGGATGATGTTTCTTAGGATTTGACTGAAAGAAATACAGAAAAACAGTAAATGGTTATCTGAACATAGTTTTAAAGTTTTTAGCATTTTTATGCTTCCATTGAAAATAAAATGGTAGAGGGATGAATATTGATCTGTTATTATATCAGATAAGATCTTATTTGTATAAGTTTTTAACGTGGATACATTACCCATATAAGAGAAGAGCTGGAATTAAAATTCTTGTGCCAAAGCCCATGATTCTGAATTACTTGTTTCCGCAGAAAATACTTTTTAACTCTTACCTATGTAAGTCACATCCACATAATGAGGATCAGAGACGTTACTTCCCATTTCATTAGTTGCCCTCACGGTAATATTGTATATGGTCCAGAAAGAGGTGTGTTTTTTATCAAAGTAACACGAATTGGGGCCTGCAGTTTTGTAATCTGGACATTCATAAACTTTTTCTTCTCTGAAATAAAAGAATCACAGTGATTAGGTTACAAAGACTAAACCACCTGACTTTGATTACTGGTATGTTAGCATTATTCACCTGATTTTTCATACCTGGCGATGTGAAGAAAATCAGAAAATGTCTTCCAGACTAAAGAGTCACTGGACAATTCCAGAGACTGCAGCAAGCATTTCCCTCCCCAAAGTAAAGACTACAAAGCCTGCAGAACTTAGGTTGTTGTAGATGCAGCAGTGGGCTAGCAGAGTGAAGCTCTTACTACTCAGAAAGCCATTGTCCACTGCATAGCCCTTACATGTTCCAGAGAGTAAGTAGAAGTGGTTGCTGAAGTTTTTCAAACCATCTGTTAAAAACTATGTATTTCCAATGCTGATTTAACATTTACAGGAGTTATGCATATTACACTAATATGCTTTCAGACTCTATTTTGGTCACTTGTTAAAAAAAAAAATCTACTTTGTACCTGTCCTCCAAATCCATTCCCAAGCTTCCCAATGTCAAAGCAGGGATAGGAGAGGAAGTTGAGCATGTAGCACTTGTTTCCACACTCCTCTAGATGCACAACGGCAAAAGAGAGAGTTGTGGCTGTGGACCTCATACTCTGCCATACCTTGATGGACCAGTATCTGTCTTTTTCCAGTAAGACCTGGCTCACAGTTGACAATTACAGGATTCAGCATCCAGTTTGGTCAGTTAAAGGCTGAGCAGTGCTAGGTGAACCAAAAATAGTTCAAAGAACCTAAAAAAATATATTGACTATTTCTTTAAAATGAATGTTTCGCACTTGATCTAAGTTCCAAAGAAATATTACTGCAGAAGCCACAGGGTATTCATGGCCTACGAATACTAGTGCAGAATAAACACTATCAGAAGATGAAGATTTTAGTATCTGGTCACTTTGGACAGTTTTGTTTCTAGGGCTGCATGACCAAAGAGTTATAGGACTGTGATTTGTATTGCTTAATAATATGCAGTTGCTGGGCAATGGCAACTTTCAAGACAGTCCATCTTTCTGAGTAGGAGAATTCACAGTAATTCACAATAATTCACTAACATTATAAAGAGATCTTATTTCACTCTTAAATACGTTGCTGCTTTGGCACTCTTCCAGAATATGCCACTGGACAAAACCATGTGCTACAGAAAATGACATCTCCCTAAATGCAAAAGAAGTAAGGACGGATTTTCCAGGTCCTTCCCATAAAAGACTAAATAACTATATACAGTTTATTACCCCTCTTTGCTGTAAAGCAAAGTGTGGTTAATAGGATGTCCTCCATCTGAACCAGGTTTCCACCAACAAGTAAACGTTTCCTTTTCAGGAGAACGGCACTTTATTATGGTAGGTTTTTCAGGAGGTGACTCTCCTGTGAGAGATAAAGAAATAAACTAATTAGTAAGCTTCATGTATTAGGTCCACCCTGAATTCATAAAACAACGTCAAGCAGAGCACAGGAAAATACAAAGAAAGGAAAAGTTTTGCTTTGTAGTAGCGCAGGAAAGAAGGGATTGTTCAGTGGTTCAGGCAACAGCCTGATACTTTCACCTAGATTCAGAATCCTTTCTCACTGCAGCCATGCTGAAGAACTGTTTTATTTCTCTGACTCTGGCTCTTCTCTGCCCCAGAATCTCTTAGGGAATGCTCAAATACTGCCACAGCAGGTTCTATAAAATTATTTAAAATACACTCTGCTATACAGTCTATTTTCTATGCTGTCCTTCTTTCAGCTGGGATAGAGTTAATTTTTTTCTCAGTAGCTGGTATAGTGCTGTGGTTTGGATTCAGTATGAGAAACATGTGGACAATACATGGATGTTTTGGTTGTTACTGTCATGTTTATCCTAAACCAAAGACTTTTTTTTGTCTCTTCTGCTCTGCCAGTGAGGAGGTACAAAGCAGTTAAAAAGGGCTGGGAGAGAGAACAGCCATGACAGGTGACCCCAACACATCGATAGAACATCATCCCCAGTAAATAAACTGGGGAATTACCTGGAAGCACGTCTGATAAGGGTGAAGGAATGGGATCTGGCATTGGTCAGTTGGGGTGAGCAACTGCATTGTGTGTAACTTGTTTTGTTTGTTTTCCTTTTCATTATCATAATTATTATTTATCATTATTACTATATTTTACTTTGTTTCAATTACTAAACTGTTCTTATCTCAACCTACAGGTTTTACTTTTGATTCTCCTCCCCATTTCACAGGGGCGGGGTGTGGGATGTGAGTGACCAGCCTTGTGGTGCTTAGTTGCCAGCTGGGCTCAAACTGCAACATACAGAAAACATTTTTTTTTTTTATTCAAACAGTGGGTTTTAAGATTATTTTGGTTGTTTAAAAAATATGCTGTAATTTGTTTTGGGTTCTAGGTAAGAAAAATAAAGAATGTAAATGTTTGCCCACTTGTTTATGTCCTTGCCAGTAACTCTTCTCTGAAGTACCTATGATCTGTCTCCAAAGATACAAAGAAACAACGCTCCTATTTCCTTGTAGTGTTATGTTCTGTACTCAGGATACTCGCCTGATTGCTGCCAAGCAAGTTTTTATAGACTCAAGCAAAGAGCTTAAGAGTAGGGCAAGGAAAAATGCTTAAATTTTGAATAGGATGATGCCAGTCAAAACACTTATGTGATTGAAACTTTTTAATTATGCACTTGTGGCAAAAATACGATACTATTACATCAATAATAAATATTTTCTACTATGCAGAGCAGAGACATTGATTTTGCAAATTTTAATTGCCTAGGGCAGATCTGAAAATGGGTAATTTAAAAGATATTTTTCTATTAACAGTACTTCATGTACTTCATGATCAAGAGCAATCTTCATGTCAAGTAATGAATAATACAACTAAGAACGGAAGAAGATTTGAGACAACCTGGCTAAAGTGTCTGGCAACAAGATACGATGCCATGCATATTTAGTGTGCCTACTAAAATCCAAGAAAACATAGATAATGATTTCCATGTGGTAGTATCTGCAAGTGCCATGCTCTGTTAGACACAGCAGTGCTTTCAGTCCTGGTTCTTACATGAAAACCATTACCTTACATCTGTAGCTACATATAAAATCAATGTAATTTTAAAATCAAGGGACAGGAACAATAAATTATTTAGGCACACCCGCATCAGAAGTGACTTCCTCATACCACTTTATTTGTCATAGCCAGTTTCAGCAGAGGATCCTGAGTGGATCAAAAAAACTAAACAAGCAATTACACAGAAAGTATAGCAAAATGCACTGAGCTGTTCCTCCAGCACTATGAAGTATCTGTGTGAGAAGCCAGGTTTTCAGGGCTACCATTTAGGTATCTTTCACAACACTGAACCTGACAGGATTTAAAAACAATTTACAGAACAGCAACCATCCACTCACCATTGGGGATCTGGATGTTTCTTTCAGAGCTCCACTCGCTCCATTCTCCAAGGTCTAACATGCAACGGACCTGAACAATGTACTTCACCCCAGCTTGTAACCCGGTCACCTTGAAGTGTGTCTGCACTCCAACAGATACTGTCTGGAAAAGAAAATGGACTGGGAAAATAATAAAGAATTGGGACATTTTAACAAGTAAACCATAAAGGAATAGGCTTGACTTACTGAATTCTGAAAGTCTAGAATTTCAGTTGGTATTTTATAAGATTTGAATTACAGAGGAGCAAAAGTAGCAGAAAAACTTAGCAGCAAAATCCACTTCAATACTGAGATTCTGATACTCAAGAACATACTTAATTTTAGACTTCCTAGTACTCCATCAGATCCACAACACCAGGAACACTATAGGTAGTTCAGCTGACTAATAAACCCTCGGTGTAATTCTTTTCAGTGGCTTTAAGTGTCTTTCTCAGGTCCTTTGAATTTCTCTTCAGGACTCTCAAAACACATAGCTTTCTCCATCATTAAGGCATCAACAATTTAGGTAGCATTGAGGACACCTGACTATAACTTTAAGAATGACATTTTATCCTGAAAATTCAGCTGTGAGAATACAGAGGCCCATTCCTACATTGGGGAATGTCAGTGGAAATGCTGTGTGTGAGTAGGACACACCAAAATTTCTGAGTGGCAGGTTGCCTCCAACTGATCATGTTGACGAGTGTGATGATAACTCTCAGCCCAAATAAATAATAATTACAGAGCAATGGAGAAACGTCTCAAGGTTAAACTTGAAAAGTAGTAATAAATAAACAAGAAAACTTGTAATAGTGGGGGGGCACTGGAAACTTCAGCAGTAGCTGAAGCGTAGTTTGATGCTCTCAGAAGTTGCTCTGTCAGCATCATGACCTTTGCCCAGGCCAGTCAGAGCAGCCTCCCACTCTGATGCTGTGAATAGCTGCTCTCCAGACAGCATGGGCTGAGCAGGCAGGAAGCCACACCTGGGTGTCTGCATGTGACCAGGTGGCTCCTTTCTCTCTGGTGTGTGTCTTAGTAGACTGTAAGAGGGGACATGAGTTCACATGACATAAAAGCATCCATGTCACAAACAGAAGTGGATATAAATAGGAGAGGGAGGGATATGCTTGTAACCTACCCTTCCTGGGAGAGGGGAATTTCTGTACATAGTGTGTATATGTCTGGGACTAGTTGTAGAAATGTGTTTATAAATTTGTAGATGCCTACTAACATTTTTGAGTGCCCAGTATTGTGATTCACCTATTGCATTGCTGAGTGATTGCTGAGTGCTGCATAGTTAAATGATAAATCGTTAATTAAATTTAATGAATCATAAAACTGTTTTGATCTGGATTTGTTTTAAACTATGCGAACTGCACAGTCTTCTACTGTGACACTTGGGATCAGATGCATTGATAAACATTACAAATAAATATTATATCAGTGCACTAAATAGGGTTTTGTAGTATATGACTTTAGGATGATTATGCAAATACGTTGAATTTCACTGTTCTACAAACCACTACAGTATTTTTCTTTCCTTAATTAGATTTGGTTACATTAATTTTTCTATCCTTACAGAGACTAAAATTTTTATAGTACCAGCTAAATTGAGACAAGATAACTCACTGAATAGAGCATTTATACAATAAATATACTTTTCCATTACCTCCCACTCTTCCTTTTCCTCAGGTTTAAGTCGTAGCTCATAGTGATATACATGTGAATTAGAGCTGACAGCAGCTAACGGAGGTGGAGACCATTTTGCCCAAAGGTATGTTATGCTAGCAGATGTTTTTGTTTCTAGAGAGAGGTTCACAGGAGCATCTGGCTGAACTGTATAAATGAATGAAAAGCGTGCCATTAATAACTTAATTTTCTCTCAGAAGAGGCACCTCCTTTATGGTTTTGTATTTCACCACAATACTTTCAGATCATTCAGCACTTCTGTAAGGGAATAGTACAATAGCCTTTTATTTTTCCTTTCTTCCTGACAAGTTTAACCAGCTACTGATCTACCAGTATCAGCAAATCTTAGACTTTACTCTGAACTTGTCAGGCTAAGGAAATCAAATCATAATTTCGTTAGGCCACTCTCGCAAAATTAGGATGTCAGATATTTCACAGGTAAAACAACTCAGTAAGTTATCATTACAATGTGTAAATCGTGTATGCAGAAAGCAAAATGAAGGTGGGAATATTAATACTACAAAAAGCCTGTAGAATGCTCAGGCAGTTATTTTTACCCTCCTGAGACTTCAATGCCAGTAGCCATAAAAATGATCACATTTGGAAAACTTAGGTAGCTCAACCTAATGAAAATTTTATAATCTGCATTGAGTCTAACTGAAATAGTGGAGACAGATAGAAACTGCAGCTAGTTTTGAAGCCAAAGTTAATATGGCAATAAAATATGTAGTTACTTCATTTATAAATAAAATGCAGTTTTCACATAAATTTAAGATGCATATTTTAGACCATCTGTAGGTAAAAAAACTTCTCCACGTCAAGTTTCACATCATGAGGAACAAAATCTTTCACCACTACTTGTTCTGGCATTAAAAACTGCATACATCTCCAACTAGCTTGTTTTCCATTTTATTCTTCTCTTTTTACCTATGGAGGTTACATCCACATACTGAGGGTCTGAGCTGTTACTTCCAATCTCATTCGTTGCCATTACAGTGATAATATATGTTGTCCAGGGGTTAGTGTGGTTTTTATCAAAGTAGCAGGAATTGGGACCTGATGCTTGGTAGTCTGGACATTCATAGATTTTTTCTTCACTGAAATAAAATGATTTAAAAGTTAAAAGTTCATGAAGTAAAGCAAAGCAGATAATATTCTAGTAATGGCCTAGGTTCAGCAGAGAAAAAATTTGAAATGTTTATATTTAATCTTATATTATTTTTATATATAGATACATAATATAATTTCATTACATGACAACATAATAATTGTATATAATATGTATAATTTCACCTCTGGGAAACATTTTGGTGTCAAATGCTACTGCCATAAGTGCTCCATTGCTATTTTTACTGCCATTTTTCTGGGTGAGTGCTCTCACTCCCTTTTTTTATATAAAGGAATGTCAACAAAAGAATGGAAAGAGAAAATTCCAGAGATAGCACAAGGCCATTTTAACAATATTTATAAGCAAGTAAAAGGGAAATTAAAGACATTCATATAGACTAAATAAGAAAAAATTGCTAAATATCTTCTTTGCTTATTACCCCTGGAAATAAACCAGATGGGTCCAATGGCAGAGGACTGTTTTATTGATTAGTTTGTTTTCATCAAGATCACAGTATCATTTAGGCTGGAAAAGACCTCTGAGATCATCAGGTCCAACTTTTGACTGATCTCTGCCTTTTCAACTACACCATGACACTAAGTGCCACATCCAGTCTTTTCCCGGCACACCTCCAGGAATGGTGACTCTACCACCTCCTTGGACAGTTCATTCCAATACTTAAACACCCTTTCCATGAAGAAGTTCTTTTTGATGGTGAACCTGAACTCCCCTGGCACAGCTTGAGGTCATTTCCTATCATTCTGTCTCTAGTTATGTGAGAAGAGGCCAACCCTCAGCTCACTACAAGCTCTTTTCAGATGGTTGTAGTGAGTGATAAGGTCCCTCCAAGCCTTCTTTTCTCCAGGCTAAACAACACCAGCTCCCTCAGTCACTGCTTATAGGACTCATGCTCCAGACTCTTCCCCAGCTCCATTGCCCTTCTCTGGACCTGCTCCAGCACCTCAATATCCTTCCTGAACTGAGGTGCCCAAGAACTGGACACAGCACTCAAGGTGCGGCCTCACCAATGCCCAGTACGGGGGGACAGTCACTGCCCTGGTCCTGCTGGCCACCCTGTTTGTGACACAAGCCAGGATGCCATTGGCCTTCTTGCCCACTTGGGCATGTGCTGGCTCATGTTCAGCCACTGTCAACCAGCATCCCCAGGTCCTTTTCTGCTGGGTCAGTCATTCTTCCCCAGTCCTGTAGTGTAGCCTGGGTTTGTTGTGACCTAAGGGCAGGACCTGGTGCTTGGCCTTGTTGAACCTCATCCCATTGGCACTGGTCCATCAATCCAGCCTGCCCTGATCCCTCTGCGGAGCCTTCCTACCCTCCAGCAGATCAACACTTCCTTCTACCTGGTGTCATCTGTGAACTGACTGAGGGTGCACTCGGTCCCCTCGTCCAAACCACCAATGAAGGTATTAAACAGGACTGGGCCCAGCACTGACCCCTGGGGGACACCACTGGTGACCAGACACCAACTGGATGCAGCCCCGTTCACCAGCACTCTCTGGGCCCAGCCCTACTGCCAATTCTTAACCCAGCACAGAGTGCCCCTGTCTGAGCCGTGGGCTGCAGGAGTATCTTTGGGAGACGGTGTCAAAGGCTTTACTGAAGTCCAGGTAGACTATATCCGCAGCCTTCCCCTCATCCACTAGGTGGGTCACCTGCTTATAAAAGGAGATCAGGTTAGTCAGGCAGGACCTGCCTTTCTTCAGTCCATGCTAGCCTGGTCTGATCCCTTGGTTGTCCTGTACGTGCCGTGTGGTCACACTCAAGTTGATCTGTTCCATGACCTTTCTGATGTTAATTTATCTGGTTCTCAACATGATTGTTATCATAATTATCTCAAAAGACAAAAAAATCTTATTAGTTCATTGTCTCTTACGAATTACTTTTATATGGGTCTTCAGCTTTTTCAGGAGAGGGACAGTTTTGTGCTCAGTTAGAGCTGAACTGGGCGATGTACTCACAGCCTACCCCAGGTTTGAAGAATTACACAAACCCAAAGCACCAGCTGATGCGGTGCAAGAATACATGTTAATCCCACTGTTACACTCTACACACCATTAATAATAAGGTCTCATTTTCCATGCAGTTTCGTCACAGTTCTCAAAGAAAGATGTGAGTAAGACGATAGTATGTGAGAGACAATGAGCCTAGAAATGCAGTTGTGGCCCAGATCTGGAGCACCAGGCAGTGTCTGTGTTCAGTAGATTTAGTGAAATGGATAAGCACTCCTATCCCTCCCTAGGTAGGGCTGTTCCGGGCAGTGATAAATATAACTTGAAATGCTCCTTAAAATTTATTTTGATGAAGACTGAGACATCAGGGCTTTAATAAAATAAAAGCTCTTAGATCATTGTTGAGTGTGGTAACTTTATTAAAGGCTGCATCTTTTCTGCTCAATTAATACCAAATGATTTGGAGTTTATTTAATTGAAGCAGGGGTGCCTGAGGCTTTACCTTATCTATTCTGAACCTTACTAGATTTATTCAAGGAAATTTAATCTCGGACCCTCCCTGCTTGCTTGGCCCTGTTCAAAGACCTCTTGCTTTCAGGAAAAAAAGTACAGTTATACAAAGATACACAGGTTAAACAAAGTTGTCAAAGAAATACACATTTTATTCCTAAACAGGATGAGGGAGTCACAGACTTTACCAAAACAACAGTTTTAGAGAGGCAATACCCAAATCTGATTTCACTCCATTTTGGGAATCATGAAATTGGCTAAATATCCAAAAGGGGAAACAATTACTCTCTATACTCCAGATGGGGTTTTGCTGTGCATGCTAATGGACAGGCTCCGTGGCAGGGACTCAAGGGAACCCCCAGCCCTGACTGCCCCTGCCCAGCCTCCCCAGGCACCACCAGGGTCCCTTGTCCCTGTTCCAGCCTGTTGTATCACAGAGGGTTTCCAGCTCCCCACAACCCTACACTTCCAAGGGCCCCATGAGCCAGCCTCAATCTGTGGGCTGATGTCCTGGCCCAGCCTGGTCTCAGTCTGTCCCTGTCCCCCCCCAGCCCGCCCTGCTCCTTGGCCAAGGGGGAGTGATGGACTCTGGATGGGAGCCCCACTGCTCCATGTCTTGATGCTCCACTCCTCAGAGAAGACCCTATTCAGCTAAAAGCTGTGTGCCTCCTGATAAGATGGACAAATATGCCTTTCCCAGCACTTCTTCAGTGGGATTTCAAGTTGGATGAGTTTTAGTAGGGACAGGCTGAAGTTTTGGGACTGGCAGTGGTCATGTTTTCTTCTTACAAGGGAAGCCACTCATATCATGCAGCCCTTCTTGGCCATCTGGTTAACACAGATTCATAAAAGCACTTTATAAATTATTGTTATCATTCCCTTATTCTGTCATAACCATCACTTGATCACTTACAGAGTATGTATGCACCATTCGTTACCTGTCCTTGCTGTAGAATAGGGTGTAGTTGGTAGGAAGTCCTCCATCTGAGCCAGGCTTCCACCAACAAGAAAAGGTCTCCTTTTCTAGGGAACGACATCTTATTATCTTAGGTTTCCCAGGGTACGACTGACCTAGGGAAGTGGAAAAATCCATTTAGTTATATTAGAGGTGAAGCGTGTTTTTGGTTGTTATTGCTGAATAATAAGCCCAGGCACCAAGGAATGCTTTTCTGAAGGCAATAAAATTCTGCGAAGCTATGGACTGAATTGGGCAAATAAATCTGCCTGGAAAAAGGATCAAAACTCTCAGAAAAATACACATAGATATATAAAAATATATAAAAATACATAAAAATACATTTTTACCTCAGACTTCTAAAATAACTACTAAAATTATTTTGCTTCTCTTTTTAAGATGAAAATTTAACTTTTGCCTAAACTCAAAAAGTGCATATTTATATTCAAAGTAAATTGCAAAGATTGGAAGTAAAAACCTTTGGGTTTTTTCTCCTAAAACATTGAAATTTTTTATCTATCTTAAAATTAAATTTCACCTTCAACTTTGCAACAGAACTAACTAAAACTCCACTATTTGTGCATAATTGGGTTAAACTACAGGTTAGACAAAAAGAAGGAAATTAACAGGCTAGATAACTTTTTTTGTGTACTGGCAACCTGAGTGTTCCCTGGTAATCCAAATACATTTAAGAATATGTCTTGGTAAGACTACCCATCATTAACTTATATCAAGAACACAGACCACTAATTTACATACATTTTGACATGAAAAGCATGCGATCTTTCAGCTTAAGCTTACCTTTATTTCAAGTTCCATATCACTATCTCAAATAGTGTGACTATTTATATGACACTAATTACCAAGAAGGTAACAAGGATGAAGTAAATGTAGGGATGGAGTGAGTGCCTTTCATTGCCTTTTCATCATTGCCACCACACAATCCTTAAATCAATATTATATACAAAAAAAGGACCTGAGCCATTTTCAAAATGCCATAAAAAACTTCAGAAGAAAGTAGTTTAAATAGGTCCGGGCTCCACCAGTGGTCAGGATAGACTGGATAAAGCCTCATACTTTTCTAAAGAAAGTGTTTTAAGGAAAAACAAGTGTTTCAGGAAGGGTTGTACTCACCAGTCAGACCTGCTGCAGTCAGAGCAAGCTGCAAAATAATTTGAACTGATGAAATGAATCTCCGCTTCATGACGTCTGCTTCTCCTCAGGAGGAAATGTCAGATCAGGGGCTCACTGAAAAACACGCCATCGTGCAATAGTCAATAGCAATGCTTAATGTATCGTATGTATTACCTGACTTGATCAAAGTCCTTTTTGAATTGCAGCTAAGTGATTCTTGTTCTCTCTCAGAAAGGTGTGGCAACACCTACAGTTCCACATCAGAAGCCAAAAATCTGAATCCCAGAGTAGCAAGAAGGTTTTCCCAAAGGTCTTTGAATGGTTAGCAGTGCTAGGATTACAATTGCGTAGCATTAACAAATCTTGCATATTTATTTGACATCTTGGGATACTTGATGCTTATTTTGGAGTTCTAACTTTTACAGTCATTTACGTGAGAAACCAGCCTTTTGACAACAAAATTACTGTTTTATCCCTATTGATACAAAGAAGATGTCAACAGATTTGAACTCTGAAAGTCCTGAGAACAGAAAGCAACTAGAAAAGGTCTGACATTTATTTAGAAGGTTTTGATTTTTGATCTAATCTCACGACTTCTGAATATTTGGGACTGCCGGTGTTGAATTCAGGATCACCTGAGCCAAAGAATGCTCACATGCATTCAGTTCATTGTTTTTACTGCATTTGATTCTGCAGTGAAGTGGATAGGTCAAGATCAGAGAAAAGAAACCAAGGGAAAAGTGATGTAATGTCACAGATAATTTACGGTGTGAAAATGTAAGATGGGATGCAATTATCCCTCTTCAGCCTGTAAAGGCTAGTGCTGTAGAACAGCAGAAAAACACATACGGACTTGGAAAGCCACCAGCTGTGACAAAGACCCGATCCCTGCAGTCTTGACACCACTAGATGTCCTCAGAATTCAGGCTATAACTCTGGGTGCTCTGGAGACCCTGTTGCTAAATCTGTTTGCTCAGCCTGAAGGAAAGACAGTACTACTTAAAGCAAACCTGCTGTTTCTCCCACCAATATGCTTCCTGCTTGGAGATGATGACTGCAGTCAACTATTAGCTTCCCAGTAGCCAGCCTCACTCCTTGAAACTAAAGAAGAACAATTTACTAGCTAAATAGCAGGCTCCTTTTCTCAGCTTCCCACTCCCACCAAGCACATCTGACAGGTATCTGTACGCTTGCAATTCATCCAGTGTAGCACAGCAGGGGAACAAGTTTTGTCTTTGGTGAGGAAAAATTCTTGCTGGCTTATCAGATGACTCAATTTTCAGCATGCAACTCATTTTCTGTATCAAGAAAATATAATCCATCATCATTCAAATGTTTTTCAAGCACAAAGGCAAATGAAGTATCAGTTAATTTAACTGAGTCTAAAATATGTTTACTGTGGAAAAGAACAACAGTTGGCTACATTTCCATATACCACTTCCAAATATCCAGGCACATTTCACACCCATAACTGAGGTACATGTTAGGAAATCACATCTGGGCTAGTTTTAAACTCACTCAGAGCATTCTGTCTATATGCAGGCAGTGGAGAGAGAGCCACCTAAATATAAATTCTAGTTTTGTGTAAGCACATGGAAATTTTATTACTGTAAACAAATGGCAGGCACAAATATTAGTGCTTACCTTCAGAAATTAGCTGAAAACTTGGTGTTATATAATGAGGGGCACAGGTGATTGTGCTCATATAAGGCATATTTTTCTCAAGCGAGGGTGAAATAATGAACTATAAACAATAGCTATTTCATGTACATATGATACTCTTCAAAATATTTCACTATTTCTAAAAATAGTTGAAATATTTGCAAAATACAGCACTTTCAAACTCAGACTCATGCTGTGATTCCCTATAAGGAAGTGGTATCATGATTTCTTTTTTTACTTTTACAGACACACCTTTTTTGTGTGAAGAATTGACAGGTAAGAAAAACTGATTACAGTGGCTAAAAGAATGAAATTTTTCAATACAACAAAGGAGAGGTATCACGAATGATCTCTGTTAGAGCACTCTTGCAAGTAAAATGGGATAATTTTGGAAACTGAAGACCTAAAGAACCAAATTAATAGAAAGAGGAAGAAATTAATGTATTTCAAACCAAGTACTTTTTCCATGGGAGCATTTGAAAATGAGATGATTGTGAATCACTTCTGCCACGTGGCTGTGAAAATGAACAGGAGATATACAGGGAAGGAATATGGACCTCTTAGTGCCACACAGTAGGCTCTGTGCACAATTCTCATCACCTCTACTTGTTAAAAAACCAGACCAGATTTAGAATAGATTTAGAACACAGCCATAATCATGACACAGAGGGTGTCTCATGATGGCGATTTAAAAGAATTGGCTGTGTACTCCATGTAAGGGTGGTTGTAGCCTATAAATGTAGCAGGAGATAAGCATCAAAAGAGGGAAAATAAGAATGTGTAAAATAAGAATGTTTCCATGGTTGCCTGGGATTTGGAATTTGTGATTCAAATAGAGTTTAAGGCTTTGGAAGAGATTTTTTTTTTTTTTAAATACTTGCTTAAATAAAATAGATAACACTCCCTTCATCGTAACTGTAACAAAAACGCATCATCTCCCCTATCTGTGACGTGAAAATGTTTTCATAAAAGGGCAACTAGCATTACTGAAGATGCTGTGAGGGAATGCCTCACTTTTAGGTCTGAATGAATGCTTTTATAAGGGATACAGTGGACACTGATTTGCCACCAAGTCATGCAAAACCAAGGGTTGAGTAACTGATAATTAAAAGATCATATGCCTCCTTTTGAAGGTTTTGATTTAATTCCAACCAAGTTATTGCATTCTGACATTCCAGCTGAATTTCTCCCTTTTAACACAGCCGTTACATACTATTCAACAGCTGCACATCACACGCTGGAAAACAGTGCTCCTTGATGGAAATGTAAATTGTTACAGCAGTGTTAAAATGGTCAGAAGAGTTAGATGTTCCTGTAAAATAATGCTACTCTAGAACTGATAACATAATGAAATTGTAGGTTTGAAAACAGTGCTGACAATGCTACTAGATGAAGCTGAAATCTAAACACCAGTACTGAAACCAGGTGCTGTGGAGCACAACTGAGAGACAAATGGTCTTGTCCTAACTGACTTTTAGTTCTTGTATTCTTTTCTCTCTTTCTTGGCTATGCTGATGGACAAATTTCTTGAGATTGTCAGAGAAGTCTTTACTTGGTTCTGCACAGATGGAAAAATTTTCTAGCTGCAATACTTTCAGGCTTGTAGGAACAGGAACAACTGTGTATCAGCCAATGGCAATGATATTATGTCCATCACAAGTTCTGCTTTTGCGGCTAAATAAATCAAAAGCCAAAAGTACTTTACCAAAATGTACTGAAAAAGTTTCACATTCCCACCAGTCATGATGATAAACAATGTTCATCTTTCAGCCTGGGGGAAGGCAGATTAAGGAGTTCGAAAAACACCAGAGTTCATTACCATTTCAAAGGCTTAACTACAGCTGTATGAAACCAAGGACAGATAAAGAACAGAATAAAGCAAGAATGTGACAGTCTGTTTGACCATCCAGAACATTCAACTGTACTGTGGATACTGGATGAGTCTGCCTTCCCACGCAGAGATCTCAAATGTCAACACAGATAAATGTTTCTAGCCATGATTGCTAGGTGTGTGTCTGAATGACAGTGATGGTTGGGATCATACTGTAAATTAAGAGTTGTAGGTGTGCAGTGTGACCAGAGCTCTGCTTTCCCTCTCTGAAGGAGCCCTAATTGGATGTCTCAGAACTCTGAATCCCTGAGGCACCCACTTCATGGTGATGTACAGGCTCCAGAGAAGATATGGAGTTCAGACATGTCTCTGATCTGAATTTCTTGTGACTGATTCCAGGTGGATACTTAGCACATAGCTTCTGTGAGGACGCTTAGCACATACTTTGTGAGGATGCTTAGTACTTGCTGTTGGCTATGGAGGGAAATCTTGACATCCAGTTAATTTATTGGGACTAAGGACTTCACATTTCCGTGTTGCATAAAATGGGAGCAAACATCTTTTAGATTTCACCTGAAAAGCCTACACACAGGTTATAATATATTTTTCCTAAATTTCTCTCCTAAACAAATAATCTCCTAACAATTCTTTGCAGCCCTTCCTTTGATTAGCAGTCAAGATGTGATGATGAATGGAACAACTTCCCTCACACATATGCTCCTCTGTCTGAAAGACTTGATACATTTTTGAAAAAGAAAAATCATGAAAACACAAATTCTTGAAAATGGTTTAAACCCTTACCTTCTCCATCATAGTAATTATGCTCTTAGCTCCTATTGATTTTACAGAACTGAGCTTGAAACTCTCCTAAAAACTCTCACCATCTAAATTGACAAAGAAAAAAAAAGAAGAAAGTGCCATTATCCCTACTTTACAGATAGGAAACTAAGACACAGAATGACCAAATGCTTTGCTCAGACTCATATTAGAAGTTTAACAAAAGCTAAAAACTGATTCTTTACTACAATTTTTCTTTTCTAAATACCACCTCTACTGCCTTTGTTTTCCCACTAAAACATGATTTAGCTAACAATAGCAATCTTTATCTACCAGTTTCACAGCTCCTGAATATTTCATTTTCTTCCCTGGTGGTTTGAATGTTTAGCCATGATTGCAGAATTATTATTTTTACAGCTGTCTTTTACAGAAAAGAAAATCATAAGCTCTAAAGAGTAAAATTTTAGAATCTGAAAGCTAGAATTTACATTAGAACTTGAATTATGATGGAAATTCATCTCTACCAATTACCAAGCCCAACTCTACACTTATCTTCCTATAATAAGTTTAAATATTCTTTATATATAGGATAGTCACAAAGTATAAAGTTGAATTTCCTACCTAAAGGATTCATGTACATAAGGAAGCTTTTTACTCCTCTCTTCCATGCATGTCAGATCACTTCACAGGCTGCAAAAGAAAAGGAATACTAGGATTAGTATGTTGCCGGAAGTATCACTACTTTGTTCCTAAAACATACAAAGAAAAAAAGGTCACTCTTTGTATCAGCTACTGCAGATACTGAAACTCTAAGTCAATACATTTAAACACTGATAGCAATAGAGACTGCGGTAAAACACTGTGTTACTGTACATGCTTTCCTTTATCTGTTTCTATAAAAGCACAGAACTTTGTAGCAACTTCAGATGCAGTTTAAACTTACTGGTAGACTATGCTAGGCTACTCGAAGGCTGATCAACATCTACACAGGCCAGGTCAGGATCAGATAAAAACTGACAGCTCTAGCAGCGTAATCAGTTAAAATGGGGTTCAGGGAATGAGCTTCACTTCATTACCAAAGCACAGTCCTTGTGTGGAACCCACCAAACAAGCCCCCTTCCCCACACGCCTCTTTGACTGAAGGAGGTATAGCACTCATTAAGGGATGCCTGAGGGGAAAGAATGTGGGGAGGAAAGGCAAGGATCAAAGCGGACTGGGGAAAAACAAGCATAGGAAAATAAGAGGAATAAAGAAGGCAGTTCAGTGTAAACCAGTGGCTTGTCAGACAGAAATGTGTGCCTGATAACAGTGGTCTACCCTATGCTCTCATTAAATCCTATTTCTAACTTTCCTCTGTCTGGGTGAACTGTTCAGAGTGGTACTTTTGGATGCTAGGGAACTTTCAGCTGGATTAGCCAGTGGAGAAGAGAGGGATTGCAAACCTCCAGGCTCAACTGCAGCTTCCCCCACAACTGGGGAGACTAAGGGATCTGGGGCCATCTACTGCATCACCTGAGCATCTGAGAGCAGCTACTAGAGTGATCCATTTTTCATGTGCAAATGCGCATACGTATGTGTAAATGTATATGTTGCATATAAATGTTACACACTGATGTGTGTTGCCTCTGTGTGGTTTTTGTGCCCATGCACCCACCCTCTGGGAGCAGCTGCTCAGCTCTGCTACAGGCAGAAATTGAGGATCTGGACCTAAAGCAGCCTCACATCTATGGGATTGCCTGATTCAATTGGCTCTAACAGACCGACATGCAATGTTTTACCAGAAAACCCTACCATGTTTAACTACCTGCTCTCTGTCATTCCATCCAAACACACTATTCTGTGAAGAAAGAATTTAGATGAACTTCAGTGGGCAATTTATCTGCCAGACCGATAAACACTGTTTAATTCATTAAATTACTAGTTTTGAAATTACTAACTTCATCATACTATTTCTTACAGAAATCTCTCCAAAAACAATTTGAAATAAAGTAGAATATTTTCTAACTAACATTAAGAATATACTGTGTCTCCTGGAGACCAGGTGGAAAGACATATTACTCTGTTACCAGGGTATTCTTTTGTTTGGCTCCATTTCAGTAAACCTAATGAGAGTAATAAAAATACCATGAAGTTATTTGGCAGCTAGACATTATGCCATTACAGAGGAACGGATTTAATTGAGGGCGATAAATGGGTTCTTTTTTATGTGCATATTTAAAATGGCATCAATAACATAAAACTGAATATGGCAGAAATAATGTTTGCAGTTACTCAACCGTGACACAAGGTGAAATGTAGCTTAAAGACAGAGCTCAATAAATGCTTCCTGCTTTAGAGAGGACAGAAATCTGGTTGACAGTGTGCATGCTGGGAACACTGTTTGACTCAAAATTGACTAAATGTAATTTTCTCAAAATTCTGCCTCACAGATCTATATGGCTTCATTTTAAAAATAATGCAGTCGCTTAACACTTACAGGGAAGTCTAATTCTAAGAGAAAATGAATGTATGGTTACGATCACTAAATAAAAATAACACCTTTTCTGGTTTCTACTACTTGGTACTACATCAAAACACATAGTTTTATCCTACTAGCAAATCTTTTTCTGCTTTCAAGATTGCCTTCGTCAATAAGTGATTTTATGAATTAGTGACACATCCTTACACAATATGACTGACACAAAATGTGTTTTTTTATTCGAGTTGCAATCATGCCATAAGCATTGGCTTCATCATATCACTGACTGGAAAGGATCATGATAGAATAGACCTTAACCTTCTGCATTAACCAGGACAATGACTTTCATCCAAGTATTTCCACATCAAATAATGATTATTCATATAATATTTATTGTGATAGTCCTGAGAACAAAGACAGAATTCCACTTCACTGTACAAAGAAAAGTTTCTGCTCTTAAGATCCAAAAATGTAAGTAGACAATTAATCATACAGAATGGAAGACAGGGATCTAAAAAACAGGTCAAAATTTGAATATTTTTTGTTTGAGACTAAAAATGATTTTCCTTGTAAAACATTTTCAAAATATCCCATAAACTGCAACAGCCTATGAAGGATCAGTTTTAGAAAATGCATGTCAGAATGCCACAAATTCTTTTTCAACCAAAACCAATGCATACAAATTTTCCAAAATTCCAAAATAAAATAAGTATCACCAAATACCAACATAAAGCATTTTGTTTTGAAATTTATCAGTAGAATATTTTCTAAAATGTAATAAAATAATTGTGGCATATTTTCAACTTCTTTTTTTTCAAGCGAAATCATGTTGTGATGAAAAATTTCTGATAATCTTTAATTATAAACAGAATTTCAATGAGTAATGCAAAGGCATGAAACTCTTGCTATTTTGACATTTCTGGGGGGAGATGCTGGTGTAGACGTGAGGAGGTTTATTCCAGAGAGACTAAAGTTATGAAAACTTTAGAGGAAGCAAAGGAATGGGACTTTGAAAGTAGTAAAGGGAACACAGTAATGGAGTGTGAGAGGTTAGAGGGAATAAGACAATGAGGAAGGACACAGAAGGGGGAAAGAGCAAATAATTTGTTTGCACCAGGCAGTAAAGGGTTGGCTGAACTTGTAATTTCAATTGTACTCTGTGAGAAACAAAGTCTCAAGTTATGATAGGTTTTAAATAAGAGTTTATTATATGGAAAAAGCAAACAGCATGCTGGGACACAGAGTGGAGTCTTTGCTAGAGAAACCTCTGCATGTCCAATACAGCATCTTACTAACATTTATTCTAGCTATTTCATGCATAATCATTACATCATATACATATACATTTAACGAATGTTTATTTTCACAACTAAAGCTAGGTTGTTATCTCTACAGCAGTGATAGTTTTCCTATAATTCATACATTCTTGGACAACAAGGTGCCTAGATAATCATTGACTTAACAGAATTCTATCATAGCTCATTTTAGGACAGCAGAGATGGTTTATGGCTTATGACCTCGATGACCTTACAGATGGTCTGCCTTATTTCTTTATGGGGGTGCAATTAAGTTTTACAATCTGTTTGGTTTATTCTTTTACTGACATGAATTATGGCTGTGTTTGTTACATACTCCATTATTTCATTTGAGTTGCAAAGCTCCACCCACTGGATGCCAACACCAAAGAGCCTTTTCTTGGTGAACACAGGCAATGGGGTTGGGTGAAGGAGCAGCATCTCCTGGATCCTAGTGCCTGCAAGCATCAGCAGCATAATGCTGAAGAAGGATGTGACCTTAGCTCTAGAGCAGTTTCTTTAGTCTCTCTCACTGAAACAGCCCATTTTGGCTGAGTCTGAGTCTGGAGTCTCTCTGCACAGCATTATGAACGTGGAAAAACTCTAAGAGAAAGAACCTGGCTCCAGGGGAGCAAATGTTCTTCTTCAATCACAAACATGCTCAGCAATTAACAATATCAGTAGGAGCAGAGAATAATAACTGTTTTCTGTTTCAGTGTTCTCTTTTTCAGGAGTTCCTCAGTATGAGGTTGTAAAAGTAGCTGTTTCTTTGTCTTTTTCCAAGTACATATTGTACTTTTACACTTGAATTGTTTGACTGTAGAGTTATTCTGTAAAAGAACACAATTACCAAAAATTACCACTCCAATCAAACTGACAAAAACACTCAATGTCCTATTATTTCTCAAACATATTCCCCAAGCTTCAAACTTGTTGATAAAAGAGCTTTGTGGCTGCATGCTAAAGGCCACCACTAAAGCCACAAACAGGTAAGTGGCACACTGGTTAGCTAAAGGAATGAAACAATGTTATCCTGGTAATCTAAAACTAATTATTTGAAAGAAATTACTGGCAGTAATGGGAGTACCCCAATATTGAACATTCAGCCTTCAGTTTATTGAGCCAAAAATAATTAATCTTTTGGCACTTTTAGAGCATTATACCCCCCTTAATACTGGAATATGTGGATATTAGAGAAGTATCTTTATTATGCCTAGCTCAAATCTTGGTGGCATTTTGTGGATCTCCTCCAGAACCTAACTTCTGAGAAGACTCATGTTTAACACATTTTATAAATGGATTATAAGTTTGGTCAGGTGGCATTAACCTCTAATGTCAGTAGAAAACACACAGTTACCTCCTGAGGAGAGTCTTATTACATAAAGTTAAAAGTTCAAACTAAACTGCTAAACCAGTAATAGTATCAATATTGTTTTATCACAACTGTTAAGTTCTGGTCATCTTCCAGAAAAAAAAAATTAAAAATAATAATAAAAAAATTAGTTTTGCAGTGGAAGAATACTGAAGCTCCTGAAAGTTGTATTCTGAGGGAACTGAATTCACCTTTTGATCAGAAGTACAAATTTCCTGTCTGATTTCTTCATGACGAATATATAAACTGAATGAAGTAGAGCACTAACCTGATCTACTCTCCATCTTCATCCCAGGTTGCTATTCTTTGGAGATAGTCAGCCACAGTGAACTGTGGTTTGGATTTTTCTTTTCTTTTGCAGTATAAGGAAATGACCCTGAGGTTGCAGACTGTGAGATTTTTATGTGCTTGTTTACAGAATAAGGACTAACACTGCAATCTCTGGAGGTTAAAGGTAAATTTATTAATGTATTTATTCATTAACCCATTCACTCATTAACTCATTTGCTCAGGTCCTTACAAACTGCAATGACAACACTGTGTCTCCTACTGATGAATGAGTTT